TGGGTGTTGGAACACGGGATGACTGAAACCTAATCATAAACAGGTTTACCTCACAGTGATTAAAAAAAGGGAAGGAAGGAAATATACTTACATGTTTACGTTAAGTTTTAAAGAAGTAAATATGATTAATCTTCAGTAACAGGAAACACACATAATGTCATTGAGCAGCTAAGATGCTAAGCACTGTAGACTCATATACGATAGCTCACTGCATTCTAACCATAAGACAGCAGCATAGCAATTATTATCCCCCTTTGATTAATAAATAAGCTGATACTCAGAGAGGATGACTGCCTATTGACATTGCTGATATGAAGAAGTATGAATAGAATTTATCCATCTATCATCCATACTCATGTTCTTTCTGTGAGACCATAGCAGGATCTTAAAATAGTCTACTCCTACTATACATGAGACAGGCATTAGGAAGGGGAAAGATACAACAGAGTTTGTATCCTGGTCTTAACACTTTCAGGTTATTGTATCTGAGAGACTTTGACCCAGAAAGGGGTGGACAAAGAAAAAATTCAGAAATGTTTCTATATCTAGGTTTGCAGAGGAGCAGATAAAAGGTGTCCTGGATAAAATAGTTTCATTTTTACATCTACGCAAATTATTCTAGAATTTTTTTTTTTTTTGGTTAAGAGTAATACTCATCACAATCACTTAAGGGAAACAATTTACACCATTTTAAATAATAATGCATAGTCCTGAATATGACCAAATTGCTTAAATATGTGCCAAATGTTTATAAAGTGTTGATTATGTTCTGTGGTACATTGAATCTCTAGGGGTAAATGAGGTGATTAGGTAAAAAACACTATCGTGTAGTGGTTTTGTATATTTATAGAGGAGGCCATAGGTTTATGCTGCATTATTTTTGCTAACTTATGTGTAGTTATTGGACCTCTACTTTTTAATTTTGCTCCTGATATACTGTTTTCTGCGTTTATCTTGCTGCCAATACTTGATCTCATATAATAATTTGCATACAAAGCAAACAGTTTTGGTTTGATGATCCTGAATAATCCATACAACATATGCCATCAACAACACAGAAACAACAATAAATCCTAGATATGTTTATAACTTCCTTCTCTCTAATTGTATCAGAGATTCTGTGCTGTTCTTCCTTTGCCTTTTTCTCTCTCTCTCTTTTTTTTTTTTGGCATACTTTCAGCCTATAATCTTAAACCCCCTAAAAACCTTTGCTTTATAAAATTGTCTTAATCCTTTTTCCTAGTATCTAATTTCTTCTTATTATCATTAATAACGTTTAGGTTGGTCAAAGGCCAAATGCAAATTTTTATTTTAAAAGTCATTCAGGACAATGTGGTGAAATATACCCAAAAGAAATTAAGAGCCAAATTCAAAATATAAGATCTTCCGGGTAGACAGTTGTCCTTATATGGGAACCTGGTAGTTACGTCCATGAACTGCCTCTGACACCATATTCACCCAAAATTTAAGATAAGGACAGGTTTAACCCTTACTCAGAAACTTTTCTCTTAGATTTGCAGATAAGATAGTCTAGTCCATGAGGATTGTAGGCACTCTGGTGCCTATCTACAATCATCCTTCCTTAAAATGTGCTTTCTTGTTCTCTTTTTCTATAAAATAATGTTTCTTATGACCATTCACAAAAGGAGATTACTTAGAACAGGAGTTCACCATATTCCAAGCTTCTGACTTATTGTCCATAAAGCTTTTCCCTAAGCCATCATTTTGTTTCTCCATTGGGCCTCAAGTGGCAACAGAGCCAGGCTTTTATGGTTATAGCAGAGTCCAACATTGTCCTCCTTTTTTTTTAAATGTAGGAGTACTGCTATTTATTCAGCCATTAATCAAGCTGATTGAATTGGACACGAACTCCACATTACTTTTTAAAAATTTTTTTTTAAATAGGATATCTGTGAGATAGACCATTACAAAGCTGTTTATAATTGGGTTTCAGTCATACAATGATCCAGAACCCATCCCTCCACCAGTGTACACTTCCTACCACCAAAGTCCCTCATTTCCCCACCACCGTCCCCTACTTCACCAACCCCCTACTCCCAGTCTCCCTCTGTGGGAGGTACTTTCCTTCTTACTCTCTCTTTCCTTTTCCTTTTATGCATTATGGTTTGCAATACAGGTGCTAAGAGGTCATGGTGTTTGTTCAGGACATTCAGTATTTTTATCTGGATGGTAAGGCTGGAATAGCTTTTCAATTGGGTGGCCGCTTTGGGATGTGGATGTGACTGCCGAGGCTTCCGGTAGTACAGGGAGGTGGGAGATGGTAGCCCATCCCAACCCTGAGAAAGCCTGGAGATTTCAGTCACAAAACCTGCACACAAAAATTTTCAGCAGATTATATCTTAGTGAGGTCCGTCCTGACAAGGTGGAATTAGGCCAGGAATATTGCAGCGATTTTGCATTGTGGAAGCAAGTGGCTGCTGGGGGCTCTGCTTGGTGGGCCCAAGCCAACCTGCCCCCCTCTGATTTACCCCAGTCTGTTCAGGTCTGAGATTAACTATGGCTTTTGATCTCTTTTGAGATTTATTTATGGGTCTCTGGAGCAAGGCTGGTAGTAGAGCATACAGGGTGGCCCTGGAGTTGGTTCGTGGGGGTGACTGCCAGTGCTTCCATGAGTATTGTGAAGAGGAGGGAGATAACCCATCCAAACTCTGAAAAAGTCTGGAAATTTCAGTCACAAAACCCGCATACCAGAATTTTCAGCAGATTATATCTTGGTGCGGGTAGGGCGTTCGCCTTACACGCGGCCAACATGGCCGACCCGAGTTCGATTCCTCCGCCCCTCTCGGAGAGCCTGGCAAGCTACCGAGAGTATTCGATATGCCAGACACAGTAACAACAAAGTCTCCAATGGATATGTTACTGGGCCCGCTCGAGCAAATCGATGATCAACGGGAGGGCCTTACTATATCTTGGTAAGGTTCGTCCTGAGACAGTGGAGTCAGGCCAGGGCTATGGCAGCGATTTTGGATTGTGGGAGCAAGTGGCTGCTGGAAGCTCTGCTTGGGCTGGTCACCAGATCAACCCGCCCCACTCTGATTTACCCCAGTCTGTTCAGCCATGTGTGGGTCCAAGATTAACTGTGGCTTTTGATCTCTTTCAAGATTTATCTATGGGTTTCTGAAATAAGGCCAATACATGAGCTTGCATAGCTGAGCCAGAGGTGGTTTGTGGGCGTAGCTCCCACACACCTAACTTCTGGCCCTTTAATTTCTTGTTAAACTTGGTATCAACTTGTTGGGGTCCAGCCAAAGGCAGAGCAGCAATTTTGGGGTGATAGGAAGCCTGAATTCACCATCAGACTGCTGATACATTCGCCCCACAAGTACAGGTTGACCTGTTGGCAGCACCATAAGTCCTGTCCTCTTTTTAGGGCCTTTATTCTGAGTTTTTTTTCTTATCCCTTTACTGAATCTTTCCCTCACCCTCAATGCTGGATATATATTTTTATTTATGTGAATAGGTAGGTAGGTAGGTAGATACAATGTCAGCAACTGAGCTTCCTCCTCTGATACCCTTATGTCTTACTGAAAGAAGAAAGTAAGTTAATGTTAACATTTATACTTAGGAAAATATCAAGAATTTAAAATAAGACAGGCAATAGAGTTTAGGAAAAATAAAAACAAAATGAGATAGAAAGATACACTCAACAGGGCACAGAGATTCAAGAAAAACGAACAAAAAGATATACAGGTGTAAATAAATCTCAAAAGAGATCAGCAAGCTACAGGAATGCCTCCAGACTCCACATCAGGCTGGGTTTCACCTGGGACACCCAGAGGGTGGCAGGTGATCCCATCACCTGCCCAAACAGAGTCCCAGCAGTCTAGAACCTCCATAACCCAATCCCCCCATGCTCACGGTCAGACTCCACAGGCTTGGGACAAGCCTCATCTAGAAATGAATCTGTTGAAAAACTCAGGCATGAGTTTTTGACCAAACACTCAGGTTTTGTGACCAAAATCTCCAGCAATTAATGGAGTCAGGAATGGGTAATGACCCATTGTTCTTCTTCTGGCAGTCACATCTACAAATGGCCTCTGGCACCATATAAGCTCATTAACTGGCCATGATCCAGAGATTCATCAATAAATCTCAAAAGAAAACAACAAGCTGCAGATATGCTTCCAGACCCCAAAGTCACCATCCAGTTAAAAATTTAACTCCAACTGTACCACCCTATCCAAAAGTTTGAATTCCTGGAGTGACATCTCATACCCTACACCACTAATAAACTAGGAGTAGTACTACACATCAGATGGGATGTAAAGTAGAAGGCAACCAGTCTCAATTAAGAAAATATTGACACTTAGCTATAATAACATGTCAGTAATCTCTTATACAAAGGCTTAATTACTCCAGTGTGAGATATAACAATCTTCAAAGACTTTCTTCTAAGGAAACCTTTATTGATCATTTTTAGAAAATTGGGCTGGAGCAATAGCACAGTGGGTAGGGTGTTTGCCTTGCACGCAGCCAACATGGCTGACCCGAGTTCGATTCCTCTGCCCCTCTTGAAGAGCCCGGCAAGCTACCGAGAGTATCTCGCCTGCATGGCAAAGCCTGGCAAGCTACCCATGATGTATTTGATATGCCAAACACAGTAACAACAAAGTCTCACAATGGAGACGTTACTGGGCCCACAAGAGAAAATTGATGAACAATGGGAGGACAGCGACAGCGACATTAGAAAATTATTCATACAAATAATACAAAATAAATTATTTAGGGCTTGATAGTGTGGTGGTTGGGAAAATTGGAAATAATGGTGGTGGGAAGGTGTCAGAGAGGTGGGATTGGTGTTTGAATATTAAATGTGATAAATTATTGGAACAACTTTATAAAAATAAAATAAAGTTAAAAAAAGATACATAGGTGTGAACCACCTTCTCTCCTTTCATTCTGTCTCCTGAGATTCAGGCTTTCCTCAGACCCTTCCCACAGGATTCTCTTCCTCCCAAGTCAATCCTTTTGGCACCTACTTGATGTGTTCTGCACGTCCAGAGCCTTCAATGGTCTTGGCTCCCCAACGCTGCTCTTTTTCAGAAATGTCATTCTGCGAAAGACCAAACTCAGCAATAGTGATTCAAAGAAGTGTACCGTATTAGAGAGGCTCTGTAACTGACACATGGGCCCTTTGTGTCCCATATTATCAATCGCTTCCTTCAGTAATGTATTAACTCAAGCACCACTCTCTGCTTAACCCACTGGGATTCTCATGTTAAAATTAAACTAGTGAACTAAGAAACCTTTCTTTCTAAAGTGTATCCCTCACATTTCCCCCTTCAGATCTCTTTTAACGTCTTAATGTCCTAAAATTACACACATCCTGTGTAAATCCTGTCTCATAGGCCAAAGGAGATCCAGGTCATTCTACTCCTCACTCTCAGCATGGCTTATTATAGCCATTCAATTACAATGTCAATCATAGTGCCGGCTTCCTTTTATCCTCGTGCCTGTGCCACTCATGAGGCAAACTGTCCTCCCAGTCAATGCCATCGTGAGGGATATCTTAGTCCCAGATATCCTTTTCTAAGTGCTCCCCTTTCTAAGGTTACAGGTGCTCAAAATGCTTCCCTCCATCCACAGCTACTCCCCACCCATCACTCTCCCAGGCAAACTACTTCTAAACTCACCACAAAGTCAGGGTCTGTGTCCCAGTCATCACCCTGGGTCTCCACGGAAACAGATACATCATGTCCAACTACAGATTTCCACATCTGAAGGTGACGGAAAATGGAAATCATTAGGGGGCAGACAATAAGAGGGGAAAAATGATGCTGAAATCCACGATGCATCAGGCCCATGTTTCTTACCATCTTTTCTTAGTAGAAAACAGAAGCCTAGGCAATGCAGATACAAATGTTAGGAAAGCACTTTGCTCAGTGAGAGAAGAAGAATGGGGACTTGTTCAATATATATACCATGGCCTGAGCCAACTAGAGCCTGAAGATAAGTCAGTATAGGCAGGACTCAATAATTTGGGTGTCAAACTGTTGAGATAAAGCTCTTGTATCAATAGATAAGTCAGTCAGAATATTAGAGTTACAGTTAATAAGAAATACTAAAAACACCCTTAGAATTTAGTGTCACTTCAGATTTCCACATTTGACTCCTTCTAAAGCTATTAAAAATATGAATTGGTCCAACTCCTGATAAAGTGAACTTTTCTCTCCATAACCTGTTTTACTCTATCGAGTATTCTTTGGGCTGGAGCGATAGCACAGTGGGTAGGGCGTTTGCCTTGCACGCAGCCAACATGGCCGACCCGAGTTTGATTCCTCTGCTCCTCTTGGAGAGCCAGGCAAGCTACCGAGAGTATCTCGCCCTCATGGCAAAGCCTGGCAAGCTACCCGTGACGTATTCAATATGCCAAACACAGTAACAAGCCTCACAATGGAGACGTTACTGGGCCCACTTGAGCAAATCGATGAACAACGGGAGGACTGTGACCGTGAGTATTGTTTAACCTCCAGGGCAAGTGATGCACTAGCTTCGCTTTGCCACCAATCAGTGTCCAGCGGAGGTGAGCAGGGACATTCAGTTGTAATTCCTATACTAACCATTGTCTGCTGGCAATAAATAATTTCATTACTCAACTTTTTAAAGTTCATTTTTATTTATAAAGAATATGGTTCAAAAAGTAGCATGCAATAAATCCCTCATTTTGAACATTTATATTTTTTATTTTTATAAAAATAAACTTAGTAAATGCTAAACAAATACTTAAGAAAACACTAGTTTGAAGAAGCATCAACTTGGTATTGGGCACCCCCCACCCCCCATTTTCTCATTCAATGTGAATGAGAGAAGCTGTGCAGTGGTCCAGCATCTGTAAGATCTGGGATCTTGGTGTGAATAACAACCATCAGGCAATGCTTACCAGCTCTGATGTCCACCGAGACTTCTGACCATGATAACGCTTGCTTGCTAACTTCCTCACTCATCCTTTCCTTCTCAAGCACCTCATCCTATAGTATCTCTCCCCATTAATGTCCACTACATTTTAAATAGAGTTTTCTTTTTTTTTTTTTATTTTTTTATTTATTGAATCACCGTGGGAAAGGTTACAAAGCTTTCAGGTTTAGGTCTCAGTCATGCAAATATCAAACACATTTCCCTTTACCAATACTTTTTTTTTTACCATGAAGAACCCCAATAAAACCCCACCCCCCACCCCTCCCAGTCCCTGTGGGGCAGATGAATTCTAGTTAACACTGAAATAGAGTTTTCTTATGATCTTTTAGGACTCTTTGTTCTCTCCACCCAGATTTTATTCTCTGGTTTTGCATTTCCACTTGAAAATTCCATCCTTCGCTAAGCTTTTTGAAACCCTCCTGGAACTGTTAAGGAAAATGGGAGTAGACTGGTTAAATAGAAGCAAAGAGGATACTAGCTAAATGTTAGCTGAGTCAGTTGCCTGAGGTATGTGTGACAGCTGAGGAGAGTATTCTGCTGGAGGGTAACAATTATGGATGTGGTTGGGGTGGGGGCAGGTAGACAAGAACTCTGGTCCCAGTTTCTGAGCTGTTCTGAAACATGACCTCACATAGAAAACTGGAAAGGAGAAGTTTCTGAAATATTTGTCAGCAATAAGGAAGTAATGAAGGCCAAAGGTCTTATCTTCTTTCCTGCTATTTCTCTGAGCCACAACCTTACTCTCCCATAAACACTTCATTTTCAGATAAGTTTTAAATGAAGTGAAGAGCTTCTGAAACAGAGACAAGTTGGCAGCCTTAACCAACTGACCAGAATTAGAGAACCAAAAAGGGCTCTCTGGCGGTTAGACTGTTGATTGACCTGGTGAATTAACAGAGGCTCTCATGACCCAACAGCCTTCTAATCTCAGTAAGTATATGGAATGGGAGTCAGACAACCAGGTGATCACACAAACTTCGTTACCAAGCCCCTGCAGAAACGTGAGTAAGGAAATAAACATAAGAAAAATATTACTTGTATGTCAGGTACCAGTCTATAAATATTAAAAATTCATTGAACATCTTTGATATTGTTTCCCCCTAAATAGATTAACCAGCTGATCTACCAAGTTGTCCCATTTCCAACTTCTGGGATTCTGGAATCCTGCACTCACAGAACAAGACCTAGTTGAATGATTATGCTTTCATCTTGGTTATCTGAATATTTAAAACCACTTCCTGATCTGTTAAGATGTCTTCTATGTGGGTTTCCCTCTTTTTTTTTTTATAAATTTTATTTTTATAAAGTTGTTCATAATAGTTCATCACATTTAATATCCAAACACCAAGCCCACCACCGTGCACCTTACCAGCGCCGTAAGAGGAAAGTGTGTGAAGAGTGTGAAGAAAGTGTGGGAAGATTTCACCCCAGAGATGTAAGCCCTGCATAAGAGAGTGCAAGCATGTATGTTTAACCCAAACAAATGTGTGCTACTTTTGGTATGGTTTCTGTCTTTTCTAGATCACAGGCTCTCAAAGGGCGGAGATGTTGACTTTATCTCCTTGTATTCATCCTCCCTAGATAGTCAGTACCTAGGCACAACAGTCCTTAGTGATGTAGACTGTCAAAAGAAACTGGGGGTTTTGGTTGTTGCTAAATCATGTTGCCTGGGTTCCATGGGAGAGTTACCTCTCCCACCCCAGTTTCCATCCCCCGTTGTTAGTTGAGTAACACAAGTACTCACACCCAGACCATAGAAGGTTAAAAGCCAACTAGCAGAGACTATTTCTCACCAAGGACTAAGAGCTAAGCAGGATACTCTTACATTAGCATTTACTCTGTGCTCTCCAACTCCCCCACTGCTCAGAGTACCCACCTCCAACAGCGCGAGTGTCTGCTCTAAGCTGTCCTCTCCTCAGGGCGACACTAGTCTCCTTTTCTGCTTGCTTCCACTTCAGAGCAAGAGACTGTGCTGTTGCTTTAGTTCCGCATTCAGGTTTTCTGTCATTTCCTGCCACCCTGGCCTCACAGCTACTTCCTGAAGATTGAGTCAGTTCCTTCTGCTCAGACATTTAAAAAACTACAAGAAGCTTCTTTCCCTAACAAGGCTTTGAGGGCTGCAGGGAAACTGTAACAAATGCTGCTCCTATTCCCAGACTTTTTAATCTGGTCAGAGGTTTTTTTTTTTCATTTGTTTTTTGTTTTTTCACTTTTTTTGGGTCATTTTTTAAATCTAAAGAAGCAAAACATTCAAAGAGCAAACAGGAAAGAATGCTGTAGTATGCATTGGTAACCTAAATTGATGGGTATCTTTATAATAAGGGAATTTTAATTCAATATAGGCTGAAGTAATAATAATAATAATAAAAAGACTTACTTAAAAGTGATCTTCATGTGGATTTCAAGGATAGTATTTAAAAAGAAACTCATTACCCATGGCACTTAAACTGGGTTTTCATATAGCGGAAGTTAAAATACTGATCAAATATACTAATTACTTAAATGACAGAACAGTCTCACAAAAGGAAAGGAAAAAAGACATGGAGGGAGGCAGTTTCAGAATATTGTTTGGGGAGAGTACAGTGAGGTGTTTGGACTAGTAGAAAAGTCTGGTTCAAGATAAGATGAGGTTTGAAGGAATCAGGAGTTACCAGTAAATGGAAGGTCTTTATATTTTCAATTTCTCTTCAACATTTGTTTACCCCATTTCCCCTCTTGCATCAGAGTTGCTCGGGGGACTTGTTTTGTCCAGTGAAGGGAAATAAAACAGACTACCTTCTCCTTCTTCTTTTAATTGAACTGAGTGCTGAAAGGAGGTTAGGGGACAAAAAGATCACCTTCTAATGGAATACTTTAGAAAACCATGAGCTTCAGCATGTTCTTTTTGCCCACAGTCCAAGAAGGCAATCTGTAATTTCCAGAGCATCTTCTCGAATAGCCTCGGGTCCTAAGGGAGATAGTCCGAAACTGCTAATAACACAAGAAGAGTGCGCCTATTGAGAAGGAACTTGGAGAGCTTGACTAAAAAAGAACCTTACGGAAAACCCAGTTTAAGTGCCATGGGTAATGTAGTAATGAGTTTCTTTTTAAATATTATCTTTGAAATCCACATAAAGAACATTTTAAGTCTCTTTTTTAAATTACTCGAGCCCATACCGAATTCTTAAAATTCCCTTACCCATCATCTGTAAAGAAGCTCAATTTCTAGTTTTTTTGAGGAATGGCCATGTTGTTTTTTCCAAAAAGACTGGACTAGTCAGCATTCCCACCAATGATAAAGGAGAGTCCCTTTCTCCCTACATCCATGCCAGCACTGGTTGTTCTTATTCTTTTTTGGTGTGTGCCAGTCTCTGCGGTGTAAGGTGCTATCTCATTATTGTTTTAATTTGCATCTCCCTGAAGATTAGAGATATAGAGCATTTTTTTTTTGGGGTCACACCCGGCGATGCTCAGGGGTCACTCCTGGCTCATGGGTCACTCCTGGCTCATGCATTCAGGAATCACTCCTGGCGGTGCTCGGGGGACCATATGGGATGCTGGGAATCGAACCTGTGTCGACCATGTTGGCTGCGTGCAAGGCAAACGCCCTACCCGCTGTGCTATCGCTCCAGCCCCAGAGCATTTTTTTTATGTGTCTTTTGGTCATTTGTATTTCTTGAGAAGGTTTCAGTTCATTTCTTCTCTCCATTTTTGATGGGGTTGGAGGTTTTTTCTTATAAAGTTCTCCAGCAATACCATTTCTGGGAATATAAAACACACAGCAGAAATGACGTCTTCACTTGTATGTTCAATGCAGCACTGTTTATAATAGCCAGAATCTGAAAACAACCTGAGTGACTGAGAAAAGACTGGTTGAAAAAAAAACTATAGTACATCTACACAAAAGAATACTATACAACTGTTAGAAAAATAAATGAAGTCATAAAATTCTCTTACAAATGGGTGGACATGGGGAGTATCATGCTGAGTGAACTAAGTCAGAAAGAGAAGGAACATAGAAACACTGTACTAATTTGTTGTAAATACACACACACACACACACACACACACACACACAACATAGTATGAGACTAACACCCAAGGTCAGGAAGAATGGTACATGTTGGGAAGCCTGCCTCAAGGGCTCAAGGAGAGGGTAGTTGGAATGGGTAAAAGACCATTACAATAATCATGGTTAGATGGGATTGCTCTGGAAGAGAGATGTGTGCTGAAAGTGGGCAAAGGATCAAACATGATGGCCTCTCAGTATCTGTATTGCAAACCATAATGCCCAAAAGATGGGGGGGGGGGGGGGAAGAGAGGAGAGAGAGAGACAGAGAGACAGAGACAGAGACAGAGACAGAGAGACAGAGAGGGGCCTGCCATAGAGACAGGCTGAAGGCTGGGGTGGTGGTGGCAAGAGGAATATGGGGAATGAAGAATATTGGTGGTGGTAAATGTACACTGCTGGACGAGGGATGGGAGCTGGAACATTGAAACTCACTCAATCATGAAAGCTTTGTAACTGTTTCTCACAATGATTCAATTAAAAAAAAAATCTTAGGTGCTTGCCATGCATGCAAGACCCAGGTTTGATCTCCTACATCCCAAATGGGCCCTTGAGCAATGCCAGTTGATTCCTGTGTGCAGAACCAGGTGTAAATCCTAAGCATCACTGTGTGTGTGTGGACCCAGCCCCTCCTACACCAAAATAAAGAACCTTATTTTCTTTTAGCTACTAATAATTTGGGTGGGAGAGTTATATTTTTACTGTTTATGACCTAGCATCTCCAACAGACTAATGGCTCATTTCCAATTTAGAGTCTATGTGTGAAGAACATCTTGATCTGTCCGACTTCATGAACTACTTATTTTCCTTTTTAAAAAATTGATGTCATCAGTTCACATTATAGCACTTCAGAAGTATAGCTTAAAACCTTCATATGTATATAGGATTCAACATACGTCCCACCAAAGTTTCAGTACCATCTCATCATCTAAACCCCAAGCTCCAAACTCATTCTTACTCTCTACAACTCCCTTCTCTCTAGTAACCACCATATTTTTCACTGAGACTAGGAGTTAGTTGCTTTTTGTCAATCCATTGGCTATAAACTCCACACATTAAACTAGTCAGTAATTATTTCTTCAGTTATTTCACTTAGCATAACCACCTAAAATTCTATCCATGAAAATATCTATTTTTTTTGTCCCAAAGAACACAATTTTATCTCATGGCAGAGTTGCATTCCATTGAGTATATCTTTCTCTCTTATATATATATACACACACATTGACATATATGTATATGTTGTGCAATGTATATATATATATATAATATACACTACTTATTATAGCAGAATCAAAACCATTTTAAGGAAGAGTAAATTAGAGAAAAATTCTTTTTAATCATTTGAAATTCTGTCAAAAAGTAAGAATCACCAGTTTTGATACAACACACCATTTAGGTAAAGTTCTTTAGAACAACCATAACATTTAATCAGACATGATACCTACATGGGCTGGAGCAATAGCACAGCAGGTAGGGCGTTTGCCTTGCACGTGGCTGACCCGGGTTTGATTCCTCTGCCCCTCTTGGAGAGCCTGGCAAGCTACTGAGAGTATCTTGCCCACACAGCAAAGCCTGGCAAGCTACTCGTGACATATTCGATATGCCAAAAGAAAAAAAAAACCCAGTAACAACAAGTCTCACAATTTCTTGTGAGGTGTTACTGGTGCCCGCTCAAGCAAATTGATGAACAAAGGGAGGACAGTGCTACAGTGCTACCTACATGTCCCACGTCTCCTTAGAAAGTGTGCTAAATTTATTCCTGTTGAAGCAGGGAGATGCAGCACAAAGAAATAATGTGGGCTTGAAGTCTGTTCAGTTTGTTTAGCTTATTGAACCCTGAGACAAGTGAATTAGCTTTTTTCAGGCAGCAACTTATTAATAGAAGTATAAAATCTCTACCCTGCTATACCCTATTACTTTTCCCCTTCTGCTCCTGTTTTTAACATACATCAGATAGAAGTTATCCATGGTTGAGGCATGAACCTGGAAGATTGTCAGGGCTGAAGGCCCAGTCTGTTTGGTGCTCTATTAGGATAAAATTTCATCACCCTAGAATCTAGTGGCTAGGACTAGCAGGCGTCATTATGATGCTGATCAGGAAGAATTGAAATGTGCATGTCTTTACCATACCTGTTATTCATTCCTGGCTACTCCAACCCAATTTTCCCCATTTGCAAATACAGTAAAATGTTTAGTATATATATCCAAACACTACTTCATTCTGAAAATAATTTTATTATTTTACAATTATTCAGTAAAGTTCCTGGGTTGCTAGAACCAAGATTTGGTCACCATAGAACAAAAAATTAGAGTATTATCAGTCAGTCCCCAGTTTTCTCTTCTTTGGGTGGTGAGAACAGGCACAGCACAGAACAACAACAAACAACCACCAGGAAACGGGAAGGAAGGAAGGAAGGAAATAGGCACAAATGGAAATAAATCCAGGATTTCGACTCAGTCCTGGATTTAAGTAATTTGTCTTCTGAATGACAATAATATGAGTGCCCCTATTCACAGCTGTTTTATCCTGCCTCTCAGTGAGAGAAAAACAAAGGGCACTAAATACACCCTAGTGCAAAAGCAATCAGTGTACAAGCAGTGGGGCCTAATCTTACAGTCCAAGGCCACAAAGTGACTCCAATTATGCCTGAACAGGCAGGGATAGAGACACCTGCAGGAGTTTGTCAACTCCCATTTATACTGCAAGAGACCTAGTCAGCAATCACATGAGAGAACCTTCCCCAGAACTCTGTTCATGGCTGGGTGACCGTCTCCTGAGACAGGAGAAAATAAGGTAAATGAGGTTAAAAAACGTGTCAATAAAAAGTGATTCTGGACTTCAGATCTTTGAATTTATTGGAACCATCTTCTTGGCTTGACAGACATTCCTGAGCATCTCTCAGACAGAGGTTGGGTCCCTACAGACTGAACAAACGTCAGGTTCAATCACTAACTATGTGACCTCTTCAGATTATGTAGAAGGCTTCATTTCCTGGGCAGAAGAAGAAAGCAGACTTGCTGATTTCTGCAGCTCTAACATTTGATTCCTGCATCTACCTTAGTGTTGGCAGACACTCTGCATGGAGAGTTGAGAGATGACCTAGAAAAGGAAGACTCTTCTGTGGGAATTGCTGTTCCACACAAGGGCACTCCAAGTTCTGAGGAGAGATGGCAAAAAGATGAGAACTGTTTACAGATGGCCCGTGATACATAAAATGAGCAGGGCATGAATCATCAGAAAGTAGAGGGTCGCCAGCACGGGCACTCTCGTCCGGGAATGAATGAGTGAACGCAGGATTCGCTTCCATCCAGCACTTCTCCGAGTCTGGAACAAAAATGGACAAGTCAGAGTTTCAACCTCTAGAGATGTGCCATTTCCTTCATAACCACAAAAAGAGTCCTCTCAGGGTCAATGATGTGGCAAATTCTACCCCGCTTTCTCTAAGTTTTCCATTCTTTGACCCATTTAGCTGCTCAATGTCTGATTTTCATATTCCTGTTCTTCAATCCACTACAGCAATACAGTCAGATCAGTCTGAAAGTAATACGCGCTCTTTTTTTGTCCTTCTCTTCCCTTCTTACCCTTCGACAACTGTTGCTTGCAAGATCTATTAATGGCGCCTGCTCCTGAGTTCCACAGGGGCCGATGACGGGAGTCCGGGCAGAGTCCCACTCACAGTGCTCCAACCTGCAAAGAGTTGCGAGAAGCTGAGGCTCTCCAGTCATCCTTCCGAGAGGGGGGGGGGGGGTGGCGAGAGGGTGGAGAGAGAGAGAGAGAGAGACACAGATAGACGGAGGGGGGGGGGGGGAGAGAGAGAGAGAGGGAGAGAGAATTTTAAAAGTGGCTGGTGGCTTCAGGTAACTCAGCACATTTGATCAAGCATTTGCCAACAGGGATGCACTTTTTAACTGTATTAGGAAGGACAAAACATTTTCTTACATACATTAATGTAATACTTCTCTCTCTGAAGGTCATTTACTTTCCTCTAGGAGAGAAGGAATGCTTTAATCTTATCTGTGACTCTGAAAAGAGAAACTGAACATACACAGCCTAGCTCAGTGTTTTCAACCTCAACCTTTTTACTTATGTGGCCTGGAACCAGAGGCTGAAAAACAGTCAAGTTAAGCAGCAAGAATTTTTTCATGGAATGGTAGGAAAATCTGGAAAAAACCCAAGTACCCCAAAACAGATGACTGGATAAAGAAAAAATGAAATACACAATGAAATAATACTGTTTTATAAGAAAGAATAATTTTATAAGAAAGGATAAAATCACGCCATTTGCTGCTATGTAGATGGATCTGGAGATTATCATGCTGAGTGAAGTTAGTCAGTGGGAGAGACACAGAATAATCTCTCTAATATGAGGATATAAAGGAACACAGTAGGGGAGTAACAACTGACGTGGCAATAGCAACAAAAACAAGAGGAATGGTCTTAAACAGGAAGAATGGGGGAAAAGTGGAGAAGGAATAGGTCAGAGATGAGAATACAACAAAGGTTGAGGGAAATGCTAAGCCAGAAGAAGGGGGGAAGTGCTTAAACTCTGTGAAATATTATGCATGCAACCCTATAAGATATCACTCTCACTATCACTATTATCCTGTTGTTCATCGAATTGCTTGAGCGGGTGCCAGTAATGTGTCCATTCATCCCTGTCACGTGTTAGTGTAGCCCGATGGCATACTGGGGGCTCTTTCAGGGTCAGAGAATGAGGACCATCACTGTTACTGTTTTTGGCATATCGAGTATGCCCAGGTATCTTGCCAAGCTCTGCCATGCAGGTGGGATACTCTCTGTAGCTTGCCGGGCTGAGAGGAATGGAGGCTTTTGGGGCAGCCTCTAATAACCTTTAAAGGTGTTCCCAGTTCCCAGTCAGGCATATATGCGGGCAGGATACTCTCGGTAGCCTGCCGGGTTCTCTGAGAGTGAGAACTAGACTATAAGAGGTCATGCGGCTGCAAATTCAGCAGCACGCTTCTGAGAGCTTGGTTTTATAGTCTCTGGATCTTGGCCATTGATGGGGTTACACAGCAGTTGGTGGGTGGAACTGTCTAGCCTTTAGAAGATGGGGGATCTGGGTGGAGGAGGCCCAGTCCCGAACTGAGCAGGCTTGGAGATCTCAGCCCCGGGTCCCGCACACCTGGGTTCCTCTGCCGGTTCCCTCATGCATGAGGCTCGTCCGAGCGTATAGAGAGTGGTCTTAGCATGGCTGTGGCTGGATCCCTGAGGTCTTCAGCTGCCGGGGCTCTGCTCAGGGTGGAGAGGGAAACTTAACCCGCCCCCCTCCAAGGGGCCCCAGTGAGGACAGCCAGGCATGGGGGCAGGAGACTCTGCATTCTAGGAGACTAGAAGATATATGAATCTTTAAAGTGCCTGTCATATAGCTACATGCAAAAAAATGGGCTCATCCTAATACCATGCACAAAAGTCAGATCGAAATGGATTAAAGACCTCCACATCAGACCAGAATCCATCAGGTACATTGAAGGAAAGATCGGCCAAAACCTCCAGGATACTGAAGCTAAAGGTACTTCAAAGATGACATGCCACTGACCAAGCGAGTGGAAACAGAGATAAACAAATGGGACTATCTTAAAATAAGAAGCTTCTGTAGCTCAAAAGAAAGTGACCAGAATACAAAGACAATCTACAGAATGGAAAAGGATATTCACCCAATACCCTTCTGATAAGGGGTTGATATCAAGGATATACAAGGGACTTGGTTGAACTCTACAAGAAGAAAACATGGAACCCCATCAGAAAATGGGGCAATGAAATGAACAGAAACTTTCTCAAAGAAGAAACCCGAATGACCAAAAGGCACATGAAAATGGTCTTCATCATTAATCACCAGGGCGATGCAGATCAAAACAAAAATGAGATATCACCTCACACTACAGAGACTGGCCCACTCCAAAAGAACAAAAGCAACTGGTGTTCGCTTGGGACTCGCCTTCACTGCTGGTGGGAATGCCGACTGGTCCAGCCCTTTTGGAAAACAGTATGGATGTTTCTCAAAAATTAGAAATTGAGCTCTAATTTAACCCAGCAATACCACTTCTGGCAATGTATCCTGAAGATGCAAAAAATTATAGTAGAAATGACATCTGCATTTGTATGTTCATTGCAGCGCTGTTTACAACAACCAGAATCTGTAAAAAACCCGAGCTCCTGAGAACACATGACTGGTTAAAGAAACTCTGGTACATTTACAGAATGGAATACCATACAGATGTTAGAAGAGATGAAGTCATGAAATTTGCATAAAAGTGGATCAACATCAAGAGTATCATGTTAAATGAAATGAGTCAGAAAGAGAGGGACAGATATAGGATTGCACTCATTTGTGGAATATAAAGTAACAGAATGGGAGACTAACACCCAGGGATAGTAGAGATAAGGACTAGGAGGACTGCTTCACAGCTAAGAAGCTGGCCTCACATGCTGGGGGGAAAGGCAGCTCAGACAGGGAAGGGACCACCAAGTAAAGGATGCTTGGAGAGCCTGCTCAGAATGGGAGATGTGTGCTGAAAGTAGACTATAGCCCGAACACGATGGCCACTTAATGCCTACATTGGAGACCACAACACCCAAAAGGAGAGAGAGAGAGCAAAAGGGAATGTGCCTGCCACTGAGGCGGGGTGGGGGTGGGGGGTTGGGGGGGATACTGGGAACATTGGTGGTGGAGAATGGGCACTGGTAGAGGGATGGGTACTTGATCACTGTATGACTGAAACATAAGCATGAAAGTTTGTAAGTCTAACTGTAACTCACGGCGCTACATTAAAATAAATAAATAAAAGGGTAAAATTATAATAACACCAAACCCTAAAAAATTAATAAACAAACTGTCATAGAGGAAAGCTGGTGGGTGGAAAATGGGGGTATGGATAGAGGAAAATGGACACTGGTGAAGGGATCATTTGTCAAACATTAAAGTAAAGTAAAGTAAAGGCCCTCCCGTTGATCATCGATTTGCTCGAGCAGGCCCAGTAACGTCTCCATTGGAGACTTTGTTGTTACTGTGTCTGGCATATCGAACACTCTCGGTAGCTTGCCGGGCTCTCCGAGAGGGGCGGAAGAATCGAACTCGGGTCGGCCATGTTGGCTGCGTGCAAGGCAAACGCCCTACCGCTGTGCTATCGCTCCATATGTCTGAAATCCTATCATAAATAACATTGCAAACCATGGTAAATCCATTTAAATTTAAAGCTTAAATAACTTTTTTAAATAAAAGAACAAGTCTGATCAAGTTGCTTGAACAGAAATGGGACAACAAAACAATTAGTAAATGTTAGTATGGTACTTTAAAAAATTGCATTAATCACTGATTGTACCAATCATTGTATATGTCATATGCAAATAAAAAGTTTTTCTCCTAAGAAGCAATGCAGCCTGTTAAATGTATTAAAAACCCTGTACAAACTGCTTTCAGGGCTCAATCCTTTTTGATAATAGCCAGGTCAAGTCTGCTTGTGTAAAAAAACTTTCCTCTTCCCCCAAAATATTTCCTGTGGCCTAGTTTGGCCCATGAACTGGTGGTTCAAAAATCACTGGCCTACCTCTATCCTGCCCATTTTCCTCTTGAGAGTCAAATTAACTTCCTGACACCTTTCAGATCTATTTCTCCATGTGATAAGCTTCTCAAAGGTGGCACTGATCTGGAACAAAGTCGTCTGTTGCTACGCAGCGGTCAGTCTGTCAGCCTCTCAAGGTGACATTCAGAAAGAATTAGATGTGTGCAGGTATTGATGAGCCAGTGCTGACTGCCTATAAGCTCCATGCTCACAAGTTCCAAATGCACACAGATGAGTCTTAAAATGGCAATCCTAGGCTTGCTTACAGCACTTGATCAGCTACCACAGTTTCCCTTCCACTTCAGGGCCAGAGCGGGCAATGTGGATGGGCTAATGTGGCTGCATCGGAGCCAGAAAAGAAACTGCTGGAATAACATGCTTGTATTAAAATTACAAAGGCACACTGCACTATTTGTCTCAAGTTATCTTAGACACATGGTAATCACATGAAGGATATTGCCAAAGGACTGGATTTCACAGAGCAAACCTAGAGCAAGTGACAGAGAAATAGTCATGGTGCACGGCTTGAAAATGCTTAGCGAGACACAAATGGTTGAGTTGTGTCCTCAAAGAACCTGCCCTCAAACGGGCATACCAAGGCTCAGTCAGTGAAGACAATTACGCCGTGAGTTTGCTAGATATGCTAGACTTGCTCAGAGCAGCGGCCATTTTTGACACCTAAACTTTCCACGAAGGAGTTGATGTCACAAATGTCACTATCTGAGGAAAGTGACAATACATCTGGGAGCCTTCTCCACTTCAATACCCACTGATCAAACAACTGAAGTAGCTATTTTCATTGTTTCTTTCCATGTACAGGGACATTCAGCACCAGCAAAATACCTAGGAAGATTTTCTTCACTCTCTGTCAGTTGGGAGTAAGGAACTAGAAATGTGTAGCTCTGTCCTCAGATCACATGGAGCCACCTTCCCACAAGATGCACAACTCATACTCATAGCTGTAATGCTCTGATTTTTATAAGCACAGCTTCTTAAACTATGAGTAAGGCCTACCCTGGCTCAACACTGCCTGTAATTGCACTGCACTGCACTGCACTGTCCTCCCATTGTTCATCAATTTGCTCGAGCAGGCACCAGTAACGTCTCCATTGTGAGACTTGTTACTGTTTTTGGCATATCGAATATTCCACGGGGAGCTTGCCAGGCTCTGCCGTGCGGGCCGGATACTCTTGGTAGCTTGCCAGTCTCTCCGAGGAATCAAACCCAGGTTGGCCTGGGCAAGGCAAACACCCTACTTGTTGTGCTATCGCTTAGAGTAGGAAATACATTTGCCAGCATATCAAAAACCACACTCTGGCATGCTCTTCAAGCTCGTGTTCTCCCTTGAACACATATTTTGCTTGCCTGTTTCTATGTATCTGTGCTTGCCATGTTCTCTCTTGAACATACATTTCCTATCTTTCTCTCCAATCATGGCTATTCTTTTTTTGCCTTTTTGGGTCACACTTAGAGGTTTCTCCTGTGAATTACTTTGACAGTGCTTGGGGACCATATGGGATCCTGGCAATCGAACCCGGGTCAGCAGTGTGCAAGGCAAATGCCCTAGCACTGTAATATCTCTCCAGGCCCACCCCTTCAAGTCTTTCTAAACAAATTTTATTTAATAAAATCTATCCTACTTCACAAAGGAAAAAAAAGCTATAATCAGCTTTATTAAGTAGCCTTTTAATCTCAAAATCTCATAAATTTTAATTATTTTCTTTTTGTTTTTAAAAAAGAACTTTCTATTAAGATTCAGATAAGAAATGGGGTTACCATTTATTAGATCCTTTAAAGAATCAGAAACTTAACTCAGATAATTATTATGGTGAAATCTTATCCCACAGAAAATAAGCGTGAATGATAGGTGTGACTATTGTCTCTATGAACAATTGTGACGGACAGTACTGGTCTCCTTGATATCAAAAGTACAGTGGATGTTGGTATCACCATGACCTGCTCACTGCAGTACCCAATTCAAGATGACAATAATATTCTAACTGTTCTCAAAAATGTATGCGAGTGAATGTGTATAAAACAAACAAAAGCACAGTATGTGAATAATACCCAAATGTAAAAAAACACTGGTTTGTCCTTTCTGCCTTGCCACAGGGAGCTTAGGCTTATTGGGTTACTCCCATCACAGTGCTCCCGGTCCTCTGTGTTTATTTGTAACCTCTTTCTTGAGTTCTATTAACTTGTAAATATTGCTTTTCTCTTTGCTTTAAGTCCTTTGCATAGTTAATTCAGAGCAATGACTCATTTTGTACAGACATAGGAAGACAGTAAATGCTATACTTTTCTAACTTGGGAGTTGACTCTGAATGATATTCACCCCAGGGCACCTGTTCCCTGGATTTAAGCCTCAGTTGTCCTTACTTCCTAGCACCCCAAGAGCAGGGTCCCGACGAGGAACTGGATAGACCCAGGGAAAGCAGTGAGCTACCCTGGTATTGAAATGGGCCAGGCCAAAGCTCCATATTACTTAACTGTAAGTTAAGAGCATGGTCCTGTATATATTCTGTCATAATCCAAAAAGTGATAACTGAAATAAGGCCCTGCTAGGATTAGGAAAAATCAATCTGGCCTGAACAGATTGAGATCTACAGCGAAATGTCCCCAGGAAAGCCACCCTATAAGCTCAGTGTATTTCTGTGTCTATATAAAATAACTAATATTAAGAAGTAGAATTAAATGTTAATTAATATGTTAAGTAACTTGTTGGAAAAGGAGAGTAGAAACACCCCACGTGGTATTTCTGTCCTTGAGCCTGAAGGGCTTTTGATATGTTGAATGTGCTATGGTGTCTGGTGTCTATCCCCAATGGGGGGAGTTGGTAAGAGACAAGATAGAGACCAGGGCAGCAAAATGGAGCAAGGAGAGACTAGCAAGAGGGACAGAGGAAGAATGTAGGGGAAGAATGCAGGAGCAGGTGTGTGGAGAGACGAGAGAAACGGCTGCAAGAGAGAGCACAGAGAGATAAGCGGGAGAGATAGTATGAGACTAGAATGAGAAGCTGCATGAGACTAGAATGGGAAGTTTAGTGAGATTGAAACAGGTGCATGGGGAGAATGGAATAAACGGCAACTGATCCCCAATCAGCCTGGTGGCCCTTGTCTCCTCCTTCGTCCACCCATGGCATCGGTGGTCCTGGGCGGGCGAATGGCCTGAGTCCACCAAACAAAGGCCGCGAGAGGGAGAGACGCTGGGGCTTTCCTTAGCCATCCAGAGATTACATACCCAAAGACAGCAGAAACTAGGGCCCGGAGGACTGGTCCATGGCAGGAAGCTTGCCACAAAAGGGGAGGTAGAATGCAGTTAGGACAAAGAAGGGACCTCTATGACCATGGCAGGAGGAAGTAAGCACTCTGGACAAGAACTGAGCGCTGATAGGAGGTAAAGTGATATGCAAGGTACACTTTCAGTACTGCAAAACAGTGCCTAAAAAGGAAGGGGGTGGGGAATGAGAGGAGAGAGAGGGAGGGGAGAGAAAGAGTGTGAGTGTGAGAGTGAGAGAGAGTGAGAGAGAGACAGAGAGACAGAGAGACAGAGAGACAGAGAGACAGAGAGAGAGCGAACGAGAGCAAGAGCGAGCAAGCCTGCCTGCCATGGACCATAAATGCAGACTGTGAGGTTGGGGCAGGAGGGTGGGTAAGAAGAAAACTGGGGATACTAGTGGTGGGAAATGTGCGCACTGGTGAAGGGAGTGGTGCTGATAAACAACTTTGTAACTGTGTATCTCATGAAGATTCAATTAAGAAAAGAAAGAAATGCAGGGGAGTAGAATCTGAAGGAAGAACAGTGAACACCGCCATCCCCCTGCTTTTACCTCTGGAGCTGCTCCTCGGCCAAGGAAAGGGCAGCCTCAGCAGCCAATCTTTGGTCTCGTTCTTCTTCCAGCAGTTTTCTCAATTCATTCATCTCCTGTTTAGTGATACACAACTGCTGCTGGGCTTCAGTAAAGCTTCCGGATTAAAGGAAAACAAACATCACCACTAGATGCAGAACACAGGTACTGATACAAAGATGCCAAGGTTTTGATAAGCTATAAAGCAGGAGTATTTAAAAAATCTCATACAAACTTTTTTTTTAAGTTGGAGGTGCTATTCTCACCAACTGGGTTAGTGGTGGACTGTGAGGGCCCTGAGAGGAACTTTCTGGGCCACTGGGCCACCCGAGGTTGCTTGGGGGCCTTGAGTTCTGTATCCACTGTTGTTCAGGAAACCAAGTGGGACCAGAAATCAAACCAGGATCTGCCACAGGTAAGGCATGTGTCTTAACTACTGTACCTCTGGACACACAAAAAAATTTTTTATTTTATGTATTTATATATGTATGTATTCCCACTGTGACTCCAGAGAGACCCCAGAGAGGAATTTTCATCTTCTCTGGGTTTTATGAAGACTTACTTTACCCTCTGTGTTAGCCTCTGAAGGCACTGCATCAACCTTAGGAGGGCATGAGAAAGGGCAAGTGAGATATGTATGTCAAAGTGGTTTTTTGGTTTTGAGATGCCCCAGCACCAAACCCAGGGCCCTCAGAACCTCAGCACTCTATCTCTGAAATATATTCTGGAATATATACAAAGTACAGCTGTAGAAACTTAATGAAGTTACAGAAAATGCCTTAAGAGCTCTTGGAGAATAACTAAGTATTGTTCATATGACTTCGGTAGGACTAGTGCAATGTGTACTGGTGTTACTGATTTTTTGTTTTAGAAACATTTTACACATAATCTGTATTATATATGTTTCTACTTGGCCTTCATTTAAATTCCCTGTGGCAAATAAGATAAGAGACATATTAAATCCACAGCAGGATCTGGCATTCAACCTGATGACTACTGATTTCTGGACATTCCAAGGTTCGGAGCTGCTTCCCTTACCTTTGCTGTGGGTCCATCAGATCTTCAGGATCGCTCTTCCTGTGAGCTCCACTTTTTTCTTGGGGGGCTCCTGGAGCAACATCTATATTTAGTGGTCCCTGGAAAATGAGTAAACTCAGTTGTTTAACGATAAACACGCTTAACACATTGATGCTGGAGCATACCACTGGTGATTCATTCTTGAATGTGACTAAATTAACACAGATTATAGTCCCACATCAATATGCTAAGATATATTCGAGGAAAATGAGAATTCACTCATTGGAGAATGAGAATTTTCAGAGCAAAATACAGTCATTTATAACTTTCCTTAGTGAACATACACCTTTTTGCTCTCACTTTCTTCCTTTTCACCTGAAATCCTGCCTGAATACGTCAACCTCTTTGATGGTATTCTATCATTTGTACTCAATTTTTAAAACATTTCATTTTAACACATTTCTCTGCCTCTCATCTTCTTTTTACTTACCACTTGCAGCTCTTGAATCTGCTTCTCCAAGACCGCACAGTGATTAAAAAGATTACTGTAATGTTGCTGATTCTCACGAAGACTTTGGCTGGTATCACAGAGCTGAATCGAAAGGGTATTTTTCTCTTCGAGTAGCTGAGAGAACTGAAATAGAGGAGGGTATAAGTGCTTGGATTAACTGTACCTGGCTTAAAGGCTCTAACTTTTTACACAAAACCTATGCAATAATGGCGACAATATTAGCCTATGTTCCTTCAATGTGAGCCTAAGAATTTGACTGAAAAACCAAAGCAACTTTAGGTAAGAAGCAGAAATTTTGTTGATATATATGTTAACTGAAAGACTCACAAGCAATCTACTTGATATATACAAGAATAACTGCAATAGCTTGGATTATTAGCCAAAGATGATAATCCCCAAAGCTTGAAATGACAGTTGCTACAACTGCCACCTAGACCCTAATATTCCCGAGTGGATTTCTCAATGCTGTAGAGTTATGAACTACAAAGAAAATACAATAAAAAATATAAAGTGTGATAAGCGGGAGAAACATGATAAATCTCAATGTGTCTATGTATATCTAAAGGACTATGTTGGGAGCAAGAGTCTCATAAGTAAAAACATCTCAGTCATAATATATCTAGCATACTGTACATACTGTACACAACAGCATAAGTAAACCGTATAAAATAAATGAACCAACAAAAAAGCGGAGATAAATATTCTGTTTAGATGTAGCACTTAAGAAGATGGTAGAGAACACGAGAGGATACAAAGCACAGATTTCTGATAAGCTCCATTTCTAATTTGGATACTAATTAAGTAGCTATGACATCCAAAAATGAACATTTGAAAATATTCCTTGCTGTATTTATAATTTTTTTTCTGAATTCTTAAATAAAACATTTATATTAAACAATTCTGGTTGCTATCCACTAAAATAACTTCATTGTTTACTTAAGTCCTAAATTGCAGTTCAAAATACCATTCTGGAAAAACAAATGCCCACAGTAATGTCTAACATTTAGGACAGCCGGTATGGATGAGATGTCATCTAGTTTATGGAAAGCAGCATTACAGAACATACAAGGGCTAGAGCTTTCTGGAAAAACTGATGAGCTAGAAGGGCGACGGGGCAGGAGGTGCTCTGGAGTTCCCCTGAAAAGCCCATGCTGCTCAGATAGTTGAGCACAAGCTTTGCAAAGGGACAGGGGCTAGAGGGTTCAAGCTGAGACTGCTGGTCAACCGAGCACCACTAGGAGAACCCCCAAATAAAAGAGTCTGGAATAGCGTCCAAGAATAGTGTCACGCACCCTCCAGCCAGGGGATAAAAAAGAAAAAAGAAAAGAAAAGAAAAGAAAAGAAAAGAAAAGAAAAGAAGGGAGGGGAGGGAGGGAGGGAGGGAGGCAGGAAGGAAGGAAGGAAGGAAGGAAGGAAGGAAGGAAGGAAGGTGGCTCGTGTCCATAAGGCATGAAAAAGCCAGGCTCTGAGAAAGGTAAAACTTCTCTACCCTCCAAGTTGGAGCTTACCCTTAATGCATTCTAATCTTATTCTAGTTAGCACTTCCAGTAAAAGATATTGAAAACGGGAAACACTCACCTTGCTGTTTAGTTGCTGAATTCTTAATTCCTTCTGATGAATTTCCTTTAAACTGTCATTGAGTTGGGTTCGAAGAAGTTCTGTCTCATATACTAGGTTTTGTGGCCCATCAAGGGAAGCTGCTATCTCTGGGGACACCTGCCAGGATACAAAAACCGATGAAATTCTCTCTTTATATTGTTCATTCTTTTTTTTTCCCCTTTACTTTCTTTTTTTTTTTTAAATTTTTATTAGCGAAACACCATGAGGTACAGTTGTAGACTTACAAATTTTTGTGCTTGGGTTTCAGTTATACAATGATCGGGTACCCATCCCTCCACCAGTGCCCATTCTCCACCACTCCTGATCCCAGTATCCCTTCCACACCCCATGCCCCCCATCCCACCCTGCCTCTGTGGCAGGGCATTCCCTTTTGTTCTCTCTCTCTCTCCTTCTAGAAACCTTAGCCATCTGACAGGATGTCATAAGACAATTTGCATAATAATGGCAGATGGGCACTTAGCTCGCAGGATGTTAACTGCTTTCTGGATACTGGTTTACCTCTGAACAGCAATCACCATTGAAACTATTTACCTGTCTTTGGTATTGTACTTTAAGGGGATCGATATGGGAGGAAGAAGCTCTTAATTCCCTCATAATATTCTGCAGATGACTGAGCTGCTGATCTTTGTCTGAGATAGCCATAAAGTACTGTTCCTTCATTCTCCTCTCATGAATTTCCCAAGAACTCTTCTCCATTCTAAAATAAAAAACAACAGCAACAACAAACACACACATACACACAAACCTGTGAGATGAAGAATAATACTTCCATATTCAAAACAGTACAATGGGCTATAGGGATGTAGTCAAAATAATATAAGTGTAAGGCACTTATATTCTAAACAGAACTGTGCAGTAAGACGGTCAAGCAGAACTAAAGACAGAATTTTTTTTCCACCCTGACAATGCAATGTTATTCAACCAGAACTGTTACTTGGCCATTTCTTTAAAAGAAAAAGATGGTAGGGAGGCAGGAGAGGGGATGGGACTGGAGCAATAGTACAGTGTATAGGGAGCTTGGCTTGCATGCATGCTAGGGGAGTGGGGAAGGGGTTTGATTCCGAGCATCCTATATAACCCCTGAAGCCCCGCCAGGAGTGACCCCGAGTTCAGAGCCAGGAGTAAGCCCTGAACATCAATGAATATAAGCCCACGCACACAAATAAAGAACGCGAGTGGCCAGGGTGTTGTTCAGAGGCAGAGGACATGCTTTGCCTGTTTGCGGCCCTGGCTTCCATCTCCAGCAAAGTGGGAAGAAGGTCTGGATTTGCAGACTGAGGTGAGATGCAGAAGATGCACTCATCCGTATTCACAGAAAAGCAGGCACCTAGTCTGAACACTAAATTACGAGGCAGGTTTCCAAAATGGGAAAATTATTAGGGGTTAAAGTAACAGAGCAAAAAGGAATAAGAATGTTTATGTACTGTAGCACTGTTGCACTGTCCTCCCGTTGCTCATTGATTTGCTTGAGTGGGCACCAGTAACATCTCTATTCTCCACTGTGAGTCTTGTTGTTACTGTTTTTGGCATATCGAATATGCCACGGGGAGCTTGCCAGGCTCTGCCATGCAGGCGCGATACTCGAGGTAGCTTGCTGGGCTCTCTAAGAGGGACAGAGGAATCGAACCTGGGTTGGCCCCTGCAAGGCAAACGCCCTACCCGCTATGCTATCACTCCGGCCCAGAATGTATATGATGAATTTTAAATTGTTGAAGAGGAATGAAGTCGGATCATTGGGGCATGAATAGCATAGTAAATAAAGCTAACTCTAAGAGAAACCAGAGAATTACTTCAAAAGACAGTGCCATGATGCAGTATAACATTAGTTTAGACAACATACCAACAGAGTTCAAATACTGACTCTATTATACACGGGGTGTGAGTGAGAACCTACATAAAAAGTAACCTCTTTTAGCCTTACTGTTAAAATGTAAATAAACAATTACTCCTTAAGAATATCTTAATGTATATATGAGATATTACACGTCATATACCAAACACAGAACTGGCACACTGTAATCATTTTTAACGATTAGTTGCTGTTACTTCTACTTATTTGTTCCCTAAATTTGGTCAAAAGAAGAGTTTACTTTCTTTAGTTTTAGCATAAACTACCACTTTACCATTTTCCTTAATTTTTCATGTTCTTGATTATGCCTGGAAAAAGCAAATATTATAATTGCAATAAAATTTGTGGAGCATTTCTCTTTTTCTGGCTTTTGGGCCAACCCAGCACTATTCAGGACTTACTCCTGGCTCTCCACTCGGGGAACACTCATGGCAGGGCTTGGGGGACATATGTAATACTGGGGATCAAACCTGGGTTGGCTGCATGCAAGACAAGTGCCCTACAAGCTGTACTATGATCCAACCCTCATATCCTCATTTTTAATCATACCAATATCTCTTTCCCGATACTAAATTTGCACTACATAACATTTCTCTCTATACAGAAATAGGGCAGGATGTTTTACAATTGATATATATTTGTTATGAAATAATCCCATTTTGCTAAGAGGTGACTAGAATACAGTTAATAGTTTTCAAAAAGGTAGAACTAAAACTTAGAATCCAAAATAAAAATCAGTAAATCAACTCTATTAGTGCTTTGCAGTTCTTAGGTTTATACTAATAACCAAACACTTCACATACTTATAGTTCCAGGTGACAAGACGGAACACGAAAGACATTGAGATAATTTCCAGTGTGGACCTGATCACATTGGAAGACCCTACTTTCAATGGTAAGTATAATGTGAAAATAAAAGGAAGATACTCTGAGATTCTAATTTCTTCATGACGAACTGAAACAATGAAGTGGGGAAAGCTATCACCTGGGAGGGGAAAATAACAGCTGAAAGGATGCAAATTTATCTTTTCTCTGGAGCTTTGATTCTACAGAGAAGAACCAGAAGAAATCTGTATTTCCAGAGAGTAAAATCACCGTTTTCTGGGTTCGTTTCATTTAGGGGCGATACCTGGTGGTGCTCAGGGGTCACTCCTGGTGGTGTTTCAAGGGACCATATGGAGCCTTGGGGATTGAACCAGGATCAGCTATATGCAAGGCAAGTGCCTAAACCCCTGTACTACCTCTCCAGCTGCTCAACTAGTTTTATGTTTTGTTTCCTTTTGTTTTGTTTTGGGGCCACATCTGGTAAGCCACCTGCAGACAAGCACCTCATCTCTTGTACTCTCTCCAGTTCAGTGTTCCTCTTTTTAATTCCACATATTCCAAACATATTCCAAACAAAGCATTAGACTATTTCATAATATGAATACCAGTGGGTGCCAAGAAAAGTATGCCAAGCATTCAGGAAGGTAAATGTAAAGGTAAAGGCCCTCCCGTTGATCGTCGATTTGCTCGAGCGGGCCCAGTAACGTCTCCATTGGAGACTTTGTTGTTACTGTGTCTGGCATATCGAATACATCACGGGGAGCTTGCCAGGCTCTGCCGTGCGGGCGAGATACTCTCGGTAGCTTGCCGGGCTCTCCGAGAGGGGCGGAGGAATCGAACTCGGGTCGGCCATGTTGGCCGCTTGTAAGGCGAACGCCCTACCGCTGTGCTATCGCTCCAGCCCTTTCCATTTAGGAAAGGATAGCCAAATAAGACAAATATTAATGATAATAACCTCATAACTCCAGGTAAACACCATGAAAAAAGCACTCACCTCCCCATACCCATGTCCAGAATGGTTTTGTAAACTTACATGCTTGATTGGAAACCAGCAGGTGGGGTGGAATTGGAAAGAGCCAGTTATTAGCATGGTTGGTCACCAGCACCCACTGGTATAAGGTGAGTCTCTTGACTCTCCCACCTTCACTCCCACTGTGATGTCAACAGAGACCACATGTAAATATTTATATTGATCTTAATCCGTACAAGGTTTCCTTCCCCCGTCCTTACAGAAGTAGTGGTAGAAAAAGCCCAAAAGCCGGGACTCTGGACACAATCAAGATGCTTCTCCTAAACCATTCTTCAGCAGTTTCGGGGTATACTGAATGTGGAAAATTTCATCACTGCCCAATATTTGTAAGGCTCCTGTTCCTTTCCACAATCCTAGTGATATCAATGGAAGTCACGTGTAGCTTAGACCCATACTGTCATCTAGTGGCAGGTAACTCACTGTTATCAGAGAAGTAGGAGAGAGCAAAGATCTCCATGTTTTGCTGACAGTACCCTACTCCCCTAAGAATATTAAAAGAAGGTGAAACGGGAAGTCCAGTGAACTTCACCCTACATCTGGCAATAAAGTATTTGTGGTTTTCTCCCCCTTATTGACACTTTCTCATGAAATCAATAGAAGCCTACCAAAGTAAAAGATTTTAGTTCAGCTGAGTCTTAGAATCTCAGAATCTTCATAAACACAACCAAAAATCACACATCACACTAAGAACCTGGGAAATCATAATTTGGTTGAGAAAAGGAAGATTATCACACCAAGATGAAACAGATGTAAAGTCACTGTCACTGTGTTCCCGTTGTTCATCAATTTGCTCGATATAAAGGAAATACAAAAAATTGTAAAGTACTTATTAAATAAATGTTTTTAACAAGCAATTTACATGCTGGAAACAGGGAAAAACAAAGTCTCAACAAAGAAGGAAAATATACAAAATACAAAAGAAGTGGATGAAAATTTTAAAATGAAAACATCCAAAGTGAAAAAGCTAACTCAATAGGATCAACAGCATAATGTAGGTGGATGTGGGGGAAAAAAAAATCAGTGACCTTGAAGAATAACAGAAATCACTAAAGTCAAACAGAAAGAAAACTAAACTTGGGGCCAGAAAGCTAGTACAAGGTATAAGATGCTTACTTTGCATGCAACCGACCTGGTTCAATTCCCTATATCACCTGGTCCCCTGAGCACTGTTCACAGCACCCCCTAAGTAGAGCTGAGTATTGCCCAAGCATAGCCTGAAGCCCCCTTCTCCCTAAATAAAATAAATTATATTTTATCAAAATGTAAAGACTTTGTTGAGAAAAATGAATAGAAAAGCTACAAATGGGTGAAAATATCTGAAAACCACATATAGACAAAAAGCTTATAGCTATACAACAGTTTTCAACCTTTTCCCATCTCCAGACTGGGGAAAAAACAGAAGAAATATTTTGTGTATGATAAAGAAAAAAATAAAAGTAATTATCTATAGTAGTAATACTTATATAGCAGGCCAGGGAGATGGAGCAAAGGGCTTTGCATGGGCTTTGCATGTGTGACCCCAAGATTCAATTCTGACAGTAAGCACGATTCCTGAGCACTAAGACATGAGTTGGCTCCAAAGCACTGCACTGCCAGGTATTGCCATAAACAAACTAAAAGATTATTTATGGATCAGTGTTTATATATCAGTATTTATAACAGTGTCGCCACAGGATCCAGATGTACCAGATGTGGTTTACAGACTTGCAGGAAATTTCTGTAGGCCAGAACCACTCCATTGATCAGTAGTTCAAAACCACTGATCTAGAATATAGAAACAATTTTCAAAACTTTGCATTAAAAGACTAGCAATCTCATTAGAAACTGAACAAAATACATGAATATCTGTTTCATGAAAAATGACATAGGTATCACATAAAAAGATGTTTAATATTATTAGAGCTGAATATGCAGCATCTATTATTTAAATTTGATATTAAAAGTAATCACTCATATATTGCTAATAAGAATAAAAAATGATAGTCATCTGGAATGAAGTTTTAAAGTTTCTTAAAAATATAACATATATTTTTACCATACAGTGTAGCACTGACACTCCAGAGCAATTATATCAGAGAAATAAAAAATTCATTGTCAACATAAAAATCTAGACAGAAATGATCATGTGGGCCAAAGAAATAGTACAGCAGGTAAAATGTCTGCCATGCACACAGCAGACCCAAGTTCAATACCAGGCACCCGTGGGTTTCATCCCTGGCAATCATTTGGTCCCCTAAGTCCATCAGAAGTAAACCCTAAGCACAGAGCCAGAAGTAAGCCTTGAAGCATTGCTGGGAGTGCCCCACCTTGTCTCCCCAAAAGAAAATGGTTACAGAGCCTTATTTATACTATGTAAAAGTTAGGAAACAATATATATGAACACCAACAGGCAAATAAGTAAATAAGTTACATTCATGCCTTTGAATACTCTTTATAAAAACAATTAACTACTGATACATACAACAGTGATAATGGATCTCAAGGAGATTCTGATGTGTGAAAGGAAAAACTTATTTAAGAATTATCTGTATGATTCTATAAATCACATTCAGGGGTTAAGTATTCAGAGTGAGGGAAGAGAAAAAACGATTATCGGCCACTAGTGCACAGGTCATTTTTATATTTAGGGAGCAGCTATATATCTTAGCCACAGTGGTCATTTCTTGCATCCTACACATGATAAAATTGCATAAATATACATAAATATAGTAATATAAAATCAGTGAAACCTGAAGACCTTTGAGTTATAGCAATGACAGTCTCCTGGTTTCAATATTGCATTAAATTACATAAGATATTACTATTGAAAGAAAATATGTGAAACCTAGCTACACAGGAGTTCTCTAGCATTTTCAGCAGTTTCCTATGAATCTCCAATTCATAATAAACGTAATAATAAATGAATGAAAAGGAGTCAAAAGCAGAGGTTGTCATACCTGAGCTGATGTAGCTCTTGCTGCCAGGAGAGGTTTTCCTGCCTGAGTTCTTCTTGTAAAATCTGAAATGTTTTTATTTTATCTTGATACTCCTGAAGTTGAGTCTTCAGTGGACGCAAATCAGTGATCTCTTGGTTAACCTGTAAGTATTGCTGCTGAAGATTCTTCAATTCTTTCAGCTTTAAGCAAAGGAAAAGGAAATGGGTGATTCATCACATCTTATTCACCTCCTTATAAGTCACCAACAGCACACTACTAAATCTGACACCACAATAGATTATAAGCACTTGATAGTTCATTGAAAAAAATTACTGCAGCAAGGATCTCAAAAATGGTGAAATAACATGAAACCAAGCTGGTAGGGTCATCCCCCAGAGTCCCCCTAAAGGCATATGGCCTGCTCATTCCAGCAACTTCTACTATTGCCCACCTAAGGTCTTATTGCCCACCTTGTCCCTGTGGTCTTAAGCTGACTGCAGATTTTCAACAATGGGAGACAACGGGGACTTAATGATTCTTCATGGGTGAAAGCTCCCAAGAAGTGTAATGATGAACTGGACTTTCTACTTAGCCATGTCTAGTTAGGCTTCTTTCTAATATAAGTAGCAACTTCAGAAGGCAGCAAGGTCAAGATCAAGTGGTTCTGAGTATAAGGGCTCTGGAATCAGATATCCTGTCCACGTAGATAATATAATCCTCTATGTGTCCCTAAAACCTCCTTAGCCTCAATTTCCCTGTCAAATACAGTAACTCTCATGAGATTATAAAACTGTTGTTGAAAATCTGCAGTCAGCTTAAGACCACAGGGACAAGGTGGGCAATAAGACCTTAGGTGGGCAATAGTAGAAGTTGCTGGAATGAGCAGGCCATATGCCTTTAGGGGGGCTCTGGGGGATGACCCTACCAGAGATTTTGAGAATTAAATAAGAAGAGTTAGGTATTGAACATAAAATTAGTGACAATAATATAATGATCATGGAATTAACTTTAATTAACAAAACTGCCTATTATATTCCAGGTATATATTAAAACTCATTATCCCAATACTCAATTTAAAAGTTTGGTAATAAGAAATTAGCACTGTAGCACTGTCCTCTCGGTGTTCATAGATTTGCTCGCGAGGGCCCAGTAACATCTCCATTGTGAGACTTATTGTTACTGTGATTGGCATATCAGATAGGTCATGGGTAGCTTGCCAGGCTTTGCCATGTGAGAGAAATGCTCTTTTAGCTTGCCGGGCTCTCCGAGAGGGGCAGAGGATCGAACCGGGGTCTGCCGGATCCACCGCGTGCAAGGCAAACGCCCTACCCGCTGTGCTATCACTCCACATGTATTCTAAAGTTAAAATGTTAGCTATTTGAAAAGGGAATAAATTTTCAATTCTATGCTTCAAATTATGTACTGGATACTACCAGGCTTTCTTGTAAAGACTCTGGAGATGCAGTGTTAACAATGTCCAGTATACACGTTTTTGAGGAGAAACTTCAAAATAAACAGCAAGTGCTCAGAACTTGCTTCTAAGTCTGCACTCAGGAGTCACTCCTGGTGGGGTCCAGAAGACCATACTGGATGACAAGAGATTGAACACAAGTTGGCAGTGTTCAAATAAGCACTGCACCCACTGTACTACTGCTCTGGCCCCAATTTCTATCATTTATGAGAAGGAAGACACATATTCTGATTCAGGAATTTCAAAGAGTTTCAAAGAAAATAAACCCACACAGAAGAAAACCAAGACATGTAAAAAAAAAAAAAGAACTAGAAAGAGAGCTAGACCCCTAAAAGCAGCCAAAGATTTACATACACAGGAATCTAATAATATGCTCAATGAAATTTTTCAAATGAACCTCTATAGGCTGAAAGGGAATGGTATGATATATCCCAAAGTCTTAAATGAAAACAATCGCCAAACAAGATAGTAATGTCATATAGTATTATCTCCTGACATCTTGGCTTAGCTAAAGTAAATCCAGTTTTCACTTATGAATTTTGTTAACTTAGACATTTTTTTAAAAAAAGAAGACTGATTAAACTACTGAATCCTACTAAAAGCAAGATAATTACTGTATTAGTCTTCCTTAGCTTTCTCTCTGATGGGTGAAAGAAAAGAAAGTAAACGTAGACTAAAACTTTACCAATTATTTATACTAACCTTCCTACAAAGTGGGGTTGCATTAAAAATCAGTATGAGAAACCTGAATTCTTCCTACCCCTAACGACCTATATTATTGAACTATCATTATAAGTGGTGGTGAGTGATCATGATAACTTTCTTTCAATTTAGCTATAACAAAATCTAAACATATTTACATGTACTTATGTTTTAAAATATGTCTTTGTATTTTTTGGTGGGGAGCGATGATGGTTCTTAGGAACCCTATGTGGTACCAGAGACCAAACCAGGTTTCACTGAAGGAAAATACCTTAACCCCGTAATTCTCTCTCTCTAGCCCATCCTTTAGTCTTTATTTGAAAGACCTGGGGGCTGGGTGGAGGGGATGAGAGGGTGACTCTTAAGTGGTGCTCAGTGGGCCCATAGGCAATTTTCAGCTAACTGGGTCAGTGACTCAATCAAGGGCCTAAGGGTACATAGTGTTGCTCAGGTTCTGCAGTACCAGGGATTACCAATGCACCCAGGCGTTGCTTTGGAGGCCTCTAGGGTGCTCAAGGGACCTCCAGGGATGCACTCAGCAATGTTTAGGGGACCATGTGATGCCAAGGATCAAAACCCAGGTCAGATGCATGATAGAAATGCAGCCTAATTGCTGTACTATCTCCTGGCCTCTCCTTCCATTAGTCTTTTTTAATAAAAAAAAGAAAAATTTGCATAAAGGAAACTTGTAATGGTATATACAAAATAATTTAAGTAGTGTATGTGTTCCTCTAAGATCAAACAGAACCTTCAATTGCATAAAAGTGCACAGGTGATACGTATAAGAATTGATCTTTTTCTATAGAACTAAAAATCAATTTTAAAGTTCCAAAACTCTCAAAGGCAGATCAGAGAGAACTAGACACTCACTAGTCGGTCTCTGTCGTTTTGGAGTGATGACATAGCTTTTTTTAAACTCTGTACTTCAGCTGGGCTCGTTGTGGGCTCAACTGCAGATCTCTGCTTTTCATCCTTTGACTTATGGAATTTCTCCAGTTCACTTAACAGGTGATCCCTCTCATTTTGTAGACTGGCCATAGCTTTGGAGAAGGACTGTACTTGGTTGTAAGAATCTTCTAGTTGTGAGGACAAGTGAAGCAGCTGCTCATCTTTGGACAGAAGCTGTTGGTTGAGTTTCTCAAGATGAGAGAAGGTACTGTCCTCTGTGGCATGTATTGGAAAGGCCGCTTTAGAAACAAGAACGTCTCTGTCTCTGTTTAAGGAGCCCCGCTCTTCTCTCAGCTGTGCCAACTCCTTTAGACTGGCATCATACTGCTTTCTCAGTGCATCAAGCTCCTCTTTGGCATTATCTCTACTATTTTGCAGGGAATTCATAGAATTTCCAAAAGACTGTATTTGTGCTGTAAGATCTTTATTTTCTTTGGTGACCATGAGTAGTTTCTGTTCCATTTCCATCAGATCTCTTGCTAGCTCTGCCACTCTCTCTTCTGCTGTTTCAGTTTCATTTCTCATTATCCCTGCATCGTGATGAAGATGCTTTAATTCCTTCTTCAGTTTTTCTTCAATTTCACCTACCTTCTTGGCAGCTTCCTTCTGAACTCGAACCAATTCCTCTTCCAATTCTGCAGTTCTCTTCTGAGAGAAGGAAAGCGTAGAACTTAGCTTCTGAATCTCTTCTTCTTTTGTGTTTAACTGGGCCTGAAATATCCCTAAAGCACCTTCTTCTTGCAAGGCTGTCACTTGTCTCTTTAGTTGGGATATAGACAACTGCAAGTTTTCAATCTCTTTAGATAAACCTTGTTTTTCCTCCTGGAGGGCAAGAGAGGATGCCAGCAGGTCCTCCTTTGCTTCTTCAGATTCCTTTAGCTTTTCTTCTATTTTAGCATATTCACTTTTCAGCTCCTTATTCTGCTGAAGTTGAGCTTCAAGGAGTTGTTTTTGCTGACAATCCTTTCTTGTTATCACTTGGTTTAAGTCTTCTCTATACTGGATTAATTCTGCATCTAGCTTGGCATTCTCAGAATTGAGATCATCCATATGACTTCTCAAGCATCTAATTTCTTCCTTAAGTTTATTATTTTCACTAGCAGCATCCTGGATGAGTTCATCTTTTTCTACAATTACTGAGAGATGCCGTTCTTCCAGCTTTTGGTAGTCACCAACAATGCGGTCTCGGTCATCCTGGAGAGAAGACATGGACTTAACAAAGGAATTCAACTGAGCCTTCTGTTGCATGTTTTCATTTTTTATGGCTTTCAATGCTTCTATAAGCTGATTTGTTTTGTGAACAGTTTTTTTATTCTCTCCATCTAAGACACTATTCCGTTCCTCATGGAATAGAAGATCTGCCAATTCTTTAATTTCTTTATCATGCTGCTGATTTAGTTCAGCAACAGCTACTTGGATTGCCTGTTCCTTCTCAGAAAGAAGGCTTATAATCTTTTGCTCTTTCAAGTTAATTTCTTCATGCAGCTTACTGGTTAGTTCTCTGGAGGCCTGAAGATCAGTCTCCAGCTTTTCATAACTAAATTTACAATTTTGAATATCAGCCTCCTGTTGCTTTATGATTCCTTTCAAATTTTCTTCATCTTCCTTACATTTTTCTAAAGAGTTATTTAAATCAGCTGAGTGGTCTCTGAGAATCTTAAATTCTGATTCCCACTTAGCTAGTTCATTCTGAGATTTGTGGTATAGCTGCTGTATTTCTTCTAGCTGGGAGGAAAGTTCTTTGTTTTCTTCCTGTAGAGTATCACAGACCCTCTGCTGAAGCTGGACCTCTGTCTGGGCCTTGGACTCCCAAGTCTGCTCATCATGTTCAAGTCTGGGGAAAAAAGGAAGCCATTAATTTTAAAAGGAAGTCATTAACTAAAGATCTTAGCAACATGTATTCGGATGTGCAAAATATATAAATATGAATATAATTCAAAGTGCTTTTTATAATTCAAACATTTTTTAATGAAGTGTTAGTAGCGCTACTAAATGCTCTACTTTAATGTATATTTCACTTAAATATTTATATATAAATAATAAACTCCAAAAAACTCTCCTTATTTTTGTGACACAACTATGGGCAATGCTTTCTTTAATTTTGCTTTACTTTGTTCCAAATAAGGTAATGTTATGTTTCTTTAAGAAATAATCTTGGTTGAAGGACAGTGAAGTCAATAGTCTCAGAATAACAGATTCTACTACAAGTAGACACCTACAAAATATGGGGAGCAATGACAGTTTTTCATTTTAAAAAGTATTATAAAACTAAAATTTAAAGAACATTACTCTTTAATGTTCTTTAAGCAGGCAAATGTAGTTTGAATTGATGTGACATATGAAAGAGAGAAAAGTCAGACTATTTAGAGGTTAGAACAATAAATTTAAAAGCACCGTGGATTATCAAAATAGAAATAAAAACAAAGATCTCTCTTCAGAAAGATAAAAAGAGAGGCAAACGTGGCTTTTTCATGTTAATACAACCTTCGGCAGAAAGTAATCAATTTTTTTTAAATCACAAGAAAATACAAGTTTCAGGGAAATTTAGGTCAAATTAGTTCCACAGTTGCACTGTAGCACTGTCCTCCCATTGTTTGTTCATTGATTTGCTTGAGCGGGCACTAGTAATGTCTCCACCATGAGACTTGTTACTGGTTTTGACATATCGAATACACCACAGGGAGCTTGCCAGGTGGGTGGGATACCCTTGGTAGCTTGCTGGGCTGAGAGGGTCAGAGAAATCGAACCCGGGTCAGCCGGGTGCAAGGCAAATGCTCTACCCACTGTGCTATTGCTCCAGCCTAGTTGCCCAGTATTAAATAAAAATAGTTCTATAAGCGGAGTGATAGCACAGCGGTAGGGCGTTTGCCTTGCACGCAGCCAACATGGCCGACCCGAGTTCGATTCCTCCGCCCCTCTCGGAGAGCCCGGCAAGCTACCGAGAGTATCTCGCCCGCACGGCAGAGCCTGGCAAGCTCCCCGTGATGTATTCGATATGCCAGACACAGTAACAACAAAGTCTCCAATGGAGACGTTACTGGGCCCGCTCGAGCAAATCGATGATCAACGGGAGGGCCTTTACCTTTTTACTTTAGTTCTATAGTGACTTTCCTTATCTTCAATAACCTTGGAAGAATCCCCCGCTCCTCTCCTTCCCAGAAGCTATTACTTCTTTACCTAGATATGTTGATCTTCAGTTCCTCCATATGGATGGACATCTGCTTCAGCTGATCCTTTAGAACACTACAATTTTCCTCTTTCAGTCTAATTTCTTCTTCTTTGGTTTGAATTGCATCACTGAACTTCCTCTCCCATTTCTTGGCTTCATCTATCACTCTATCCCGATCATCTTGGAGGGAAGACATGCTTTTAGTAAAAGCTGCAAGCTGAGCCACAGTATTATCCAGGTTTTCCTGAAGTTGCTTAACATCTTTATCTTTCTGGTTCAAAGTAATCTGAATCTCTCCATATGTCTCCTCTAGATGGACTTTTTCTCTGTGCAAAGCATCCAGTTTCTCTTGCATATTCTTCTTCTCTTTGAGGTGTTTTTCTTCTGCCTGTTCCAGCCTTCGTTCAAGATCTTCATCCTTTTGTTTTATTTGGCTTTTAACTGAATCTTTAATTGACTGAAGTTCCTTTCTCAATTTGAGGTGATCCGCTAGGACCCTTGCTGCTTCACTTTGAGTGTCATCTAATAGTACTCTGGAACTAGCTAATTCAGTTTCTGTCTTCTTGCAGCATTCATTTGCCTGAGCCAGTTTTCCCTTGGTTATCTCCAAATCTTTTTGGGACTCACTCTGAACAAATTCTAGAGCCTTAACAGTTCTCTCCAGAGCACTGATTTTCTCTTGGTACCGGATACAATCCTTCTGCAGTTGCTTTACTTCATGTTGCTTCTCTTTTAACAATTCCTGAAGTTCCTTTGCATGGCCTTTACTGACAGGCTCATTCTGAGCACCTTGCATCTTCTCTAAATATTCTTTCCTTATTTCTGATTCCACCTGAGTTTTCTCCTTTACTAGCTGCTGTTTTTCTTCTTCCAATTCAGTCACACACTTTTTTAGATTCAGCATTTCAGATTCTAGTTGCTCATTTTTTATTTGAGCATCTGTAACATCCTGGTAATAATTCCCAATGCTGCCATTAAGTTCTGCTAATTGATTCATAAGCCTCTCTTCTAAATCATCTTTCTCTTCTTCTGCTACTTCCTTTAGCTTGGTCACTCTGGCAAGTTCTTCGTGGGTTTGCTGATTTAGCAGTTTTATTTGGATGACTTCTTCCTGAAGCATTTTCAGGTCACCTTCCTTTGCTGCTATTTGAGTCAGCAAAGTGTTTCTCTCATTTTCTAAAGTCTTGCTAAATTCTTTTTCTTTCTGGTTTTCCTCCTCTAATTCAGCTATTCTTTCTTTGAATTGGTCAATCTGCTGTAGGTAGTTATTAATTTCATGTGAGCTAATGTTCTCACTAATATTGGGCTTGGTACTGTTTTCTAGTGGAACAAAACCTAAATTTTCAGGCCTTGTGCTCACATTCAAAGAGTCTTGCTCCTCAGTCTCAATCAGGACAGACTGTGTCTCTTCAATGATATCCATCTGATTATGTTTCTCTGTGGCCTCTAGATTAGTGGATTTAGATACATTAATTTCTATCTGATGCTTTAAATCTTGGACCTCTTCACTTAGAGAGTCCTTCTCGGTTATTAAAGCCTTAAACTCCATAGAAAGGGTTTCATACTCCATTTTCACCCTTTCTAGTTCCTCCTTCATGCAGGAATTGGAAACTCGAAGTGATTCGATACAATCTTTAGATGTCCCGCCTCCCGGGCCCACTTCTGCTCTAAGCTGGTCATTCTCTTCTTCCAATTCTAGAATTTTCTGTTGTTTGGACTTAGCAAACTTTCTCATCTTTTCTTTCATTTCCTCCATTTCCTGTTCAGCTTCCTGCAACTGCTTTTCTGTGTCTTTCTTGCTTGCTTCTGTGTTTCTCAACTTAGCATATAACTCTTGCTTCTCTTGCCTTACATTTTCCACCACGTGCTGGATCCTTTCTGCCTCATTACTAACATTCTCATAGGACTGAAGAAGAATTTCATATTCTTTTTGTAATTCTTTGTGCTTCTCCTGCCATTCAGTGCTTTCTGCTATCTTAGAACATTTCAAAGATTCTACTTCCTTCACTAACTTTTCTTTGTCTTCGGTAAGATTCTCTAAAGCTAATTTCAGACTTTCACAAGAGCCACTGAGACTTTGATTTTCCACTAAAGATCTGTCCATTTCTGTAATGAGTTTGTCTCTTTCTTCCTGAAGAAGAGCTAAGGTCCCTAAAATGGTATCTTTTTCTTTATTTTGAGCAGTAACCTGGACTTCCGCATCTGCCAGAGACCTGGTAAGGCTTTCAATGGTATCTCGAGCCAAAGACAACTCCTCTTGGAGATTTTTGTTTTCTTTCAGTGCTTCTTTTCTGGAAATAAGAGCAGCTTGTAGTTTTCTTTGTATCTGTTGGTTTGCTTTATTTCCTTCTCCAACCTCATCTGCTTTTTGCTTCATTTCACAAAGTTCCACCTGTAACTGCTTCATCTTCTCTTCATGCTCCTTAGCTTGCATTTCCAACTGGGTATGAAGAGCCTTAATTAAATCTTCTTGTTCTGTTATCTCTGACTGCATTTGAGTAAGAACTGCTTTTTTCTCACTAAGTTGTTCAGAAAGGCATCTAGCTTCTTTTTCCTTCGTGTCTATGAGCTTTCTCAGTTCACTGAGCTCAGGCTGTAGTTCTCTTAAATGTGCTAACTCAGTAATTTCTAGTTGACAGCTTTCCAATCTCTGCCTCAGGCTTTCAGCCTGGGCCTCAGCTTCATGGGCTGCTATCCTCATGCTTTCTATTTCTAAACATTGTTTATTTAATTGATCTTGTAACTGAAATATCTCTTCTGATTTTTTTGTAAGTTCGCATGTTGTAGAATTAAGTTTCAATTCCAGCTCCCCTTTCTCAGTCTCTACTTCTTTGAGTTGTGTCTTAATTTGGGCAATAAGATTATTACCCTCCAGGGTACTTGCACCTCCTGGATTAGAAGGCCAGTCTGGGCATAAACTGGACTCTGGCTGGGCAAGCTGCTGCTCTGAAGCTTTGAATAAAGGTTCTTCTAACCCTTGAGTGAGAGATCCTGGCTCCTGTTGTTCAGTGTCTAAGACTTTTCTGTCTGTAAACTCTTTTACTTGAATCTGAAGTTGGCTTAGCTGGTGTCGTATATTCTCATTTTCCTTGCTTTGCATATCAAACTGTTCTTGCAAGTGATTGTAGTCATCTTTCTGTTGCTTCAGCTCCTCCCTAAGATGTTTTTCTTTCTCCTGTGCTTTTTTTAGAATCACTTTGCGAGAGACTAACACTTCCTGTAGCTTCTTTTGAAGCTGCTCCTTTTCTTTTTCAAGATTCATTATTTTACCTTCCAGTTCCGGTTGCCAGTGTTCTCTACTACCTGCCTCTATCGGACTGACTGTTGCTGTTTCTTTTACAGGTGTTGCTAAACCCCCATCACCTGCATTCTCCTTACCTGCAGCTAACTTTTGTATAACTGCTTGGTTTTCAACAATTTCTGCCTGGAGCAAATCTATTTGGTTTGTCTTCTCTTGCAAGTTCTGACTCATCTCTTTGACCACAGCCTGTAATTGTTCCTCAGCTGCTAGCTTTTCTTCTAAATTCTTCCTTATGTGTTCGAGTTCCATTTCTTTTTTAGACAGAGCCTGCTGTAAAGAAATTTCTTTTTCTTGACACTTAGAAGCCATACATTTTTCTGAGTCTTCTTTGTTTTCTTTATCTCCCTCCACCTCCCTTTTCTCAATCTCACTGACTGAAATCTCACTCCTAGATTCACCTTTCACTTTGGCCAACTCTTCTTCTAATCTGCTAACTCTTTGTAGAAGTTCCTTCCTATTAATAAGAGCTGCATGGAGTTTTCTTTTTCTCTGCTCACTTTCTTTCTTTACAAGTTCTAATTCGCGCTGTAATTCTTCTTTACTTATGATTAGCCCTTCTGAATTCAATTCCTCACTATTCTGTTTGTCAGGAAAAACTTCTTTATCTTCTGCCACCTGCTCTTTTTTGGCTTCTTCAGCTCTAGATAATAAATTGAGCTGTTCTTTTAGAGTCTTAATTTCAATCCCAAGAGAAAACTTCTCTTCATTAAGCTGAACCATTTTCTCAGTCATACTAAAGCTGATTTCTGTGACTTGTTGATTCTTCTCTTCAATGGTTTGTTGGAGAGTTTCCACATCTTTCTTCTTCTCTAGTAAGAGTTGGTCCATCTTTACTATTTCCAGTTCCTTCTGTGAAAGGGTCTGTGAAAGTTCTTCTACCTTATTTGAGATGTCCTTAACATGTTCTTCTCTTTCAAGTACTTCGCTTTCCTTCTTTTGAAGCTGGCTCTGAAGGTCTGTTATTAGTGTACTTTGCTCAGTAAATTGAAGGTGCATGTCATCTAGTTCATTCTGTAAAACTCCAATTTTCACATCCTTGGATTTGGCTTCTATGTTAAGACTGTGAATCTGTTCTGTAAGCAAGTTGTGATGAGCTGTTTGACTTTCATAGTCAAGTCTTCTTTGACTTTCTGATTTTTCAAGGTTCATTTCCAGCTCTTGTACCTGAGCCCTCAGCTCTCCTATTATACTAAGTTCCTTCACTTGAGAAAGAAGCTGGTCTTTTTCTTCAGATAAAGCAGTAAGTGCACTGTTGGCTTTTTCAGCATTATCCTTAAGCTCTTCTATCTGCTGGGACATGCTGCTTATCTCCTTTACTTTCTCATCTAAGTTTTTCTCATAGATTTCTTCTGCCTTACTAAGTTCCAAAATTTGATCTTTTAGTCTTTCCAATTCATCCTGGTGACACTGACAAATACTTGATAAATCTGAAGGGGGCTTATTAAATTCATCCTGCTTTGTTGATTTCAATTCCATTCCAGCATCAGTTAAAGGTATTTCTTCAGATGTTCTACTTTGATATTTAGTGTTTATCTGCTCTTCTTTTTCAGATTCTGGAAGACTGCTGTCAGCATCTGGCATCGGGGAAAAATGATGCCCCGTACCTTCAAGCAATATTCCTTCACTCTCAGTCTGTTTCATCTCTTTTTGGTTAAGGATCTCGGGGTCATCCTCAGGTCTTTTGCCCTGGAGCTGCAATTTAAGAAATGCAATCTCTTCTTGAGCTTCTTTCATTTCCAACAATAAAACTGATAGTTCCTTATGTTTCTGAGAAAATGTGTTTTCAAATATATCTTGTCCACTTTCTTCCATAGGAAAACTTCCCTTAGCAAGCTTGCTAACATCAACTATGTTGATCTGTTAAAGAAAAAAAAAGTTGCAATCATGTTACCAAAACTAGCATTAAAAGGTGATACTATTTTAGTATCTAAAGCTTTTTAGTCCAAGCTCCTTCCTACACAAAATTTCTAAGTACTTTTAAAATTAGTTTGAAAATCTAACTAAAGGTAAACTATCAATTTTTAGTGAGACCAAGCTATATCCATAACATGTAAGGAAACCTGGAACTCATTTTCTTGATATTGATCACTTCACGGTGTATTGATACAATGCTATAAATTTCAAAACGTAGTTCCCTTAACAAAATTTTGTGGAGAGCATTAATAACCCCAGGAAAACATATTTAACAAGTAACGTGGTTAATTTTATGTATTATGTATTATGTATTTTATTAATACATAAAATACATAATTTTATGTATTATGTATTTTAGCTAGAATGTTCTATCTCAAATATTTGGTCAAACATAAATCCTGAAATTTCTGTAAAAGCATTTTTTTTCTTGGTAAGGTAATATTTAATCAAGTAGACTTTGAAAAAAGCAGACAATCACTTCATAATTAGGTGTGGAACTAATCTATTAGGGGTAGAGAGGTCCCCTAGCAGTGCTCGGGGCTTGCTCCCAGCTCTGCATTCAGGGACCATTCCCGATGAAGTCTGAGGGACCATATGGGCTCTGGGGACTGACCCAGGTCAGCTAAAAGCAAGGCATTGCTGCCCTCTGTTCTAGCTCTCCAGCCACAGGGGATTTATCTAAACAGTTATGGCTTAATAACAAAACCAAAAAAGACTGACTGACCATCTCCCTCCAAAAAACAGGGTACTCCAACAGGAGACTTCCTTCCAATTTAAAGTGCAGCTCTGGGGCTGGAGCAATAGTACAGCGGGTAGGGCGTTTGCCTTCCATGCGGCCGACCCGGATTCGATTCCCAGCATCCCATATGGTCTCCTGAGCACCGCCAGGGGGTAATTCCTGAGTGCAGAGCCAGGAGTAACCCCTGTTCATCACTGGGTGTGACCCAAAGAGCAAAAATAAATAAATAAAAAAATAAGGTGAAGCTCTTCCGGTTTACTGCTCTAAACTGCTGGCCTACCCTTCTATTTTGAATTAGTCAACCCCTACAACTGTGGACCAATTTATTTAAAAAAAAAACTTTCAGGTATTAAAAGTTTATGTTAAACACTGGCTCTAGATTACAGAAACAAAAATACCAAGGAATAGGAGAAATGAAGGGTAGAAGTAAAAAGAGGAGGTCTTCTTAGAGTTACAAAGGGACAAGTATTAATTAAATGTAACTGCATAAATACAATACAATGAAGTTAAAACACAATATTCAGAAAACCATATATAGCACTTTTTAGGTTATACAAAACGCCATTTCTAAAGATATCCTTTTATATCTAATCCTAAGTAAAACCATACCAACTGGTAGTAAAAAATTAAAGTTTTTTATCTAACCTCTTCATTGATAAACTTTCCTGAATAAGAAATTACTACTCCTGTACTGGTTCTATTAAACAAAAACATTTTCAAGTATTCAGAAACTAATTCAATGATGCATACTGATTATGACTTTCTTAACTGATCTCACTTGCTAGGTAAGGCAATTCTCTGTCAACAATAAAAATTTCTGAAAATGTTCTAAGTTTGATTCATCTAGTTCAACTTATTATTTTAAAGAAACATTACTTACCTCACTTAGTTCTTTATTTGACTCTGAAACTTTATTCTGAGCCTCCAGGAAAGTAATTTGAGAAGACAGTTTTTCTGAAAGCCATAAAATAAACATGTTTAGGAGATATATGTGATAAAATAAAGACAAGATGGTATAGGAGGTAACTGAGATACATTAAATAATCAAACAAAAGAAACAAAGAAAATGGGAGGTAATTGAGATACACTAAGTAATCAAGACAAAAAAAAAACCCATAAAAAGATAGCACAGCAGGTATGTCACTTGCCTTGTACATGGCCAGCTGTGATTTGATCTGGCTGTCCCCAGAGCCCGCCAGAAGAGATCCCTGAGCACAGAGCCAGGAATGAGCCCTGAGCAACACTAAGCCTGGCCCCAAAACAAAAACAAACAAAAACCCAACCAGAAAAAATAGTTGGAGGGAGGGGGCATAAAAAGCTCATCTTTTTGAAATAAAGAAGTGGCAAAAAAAGAGGAAGAAATAGATGAATGGCATGAGGTGACAACTATTAACCTGAGTAAAGCATAAAAGTAGAAAGTTTTAAAGAGAAGAAAACCAGAGCATGCAACATAAGCAATTCTTTTTGTGATTAATGTATGAGGCTTCTGGAGCAATAAATTTGCATTAATTGATCCATCACCCCACTGTGTTCATAATAAACATCTTGGATTCACTCATAAAGCAGTTTCAATATCTTCTCATTATGTTCATTAAAAAAATCCAAGATGGCGGCCGCACGGGAGCCTTGTGGACAGCAGGTATGAGCCGGGGGTCAGGGGCGACAAAAACCTCATGGGAAGGGGGGCGTTCCGGCCCGTCCTTCACGCCCTACCGAGGTCACCAGTTGCCCCCCACGAGCGGCTCTCCGGCACGACCACGACTCCAGAGCACAGAAACCAATCTCTTAACTATCTAACTTTTAGTAGAAATACTTCCAGGATTAATAAGTAAAATAGCAGAAATCCAAAACCACGCGGCCGCAATCGCGATCGCGCGACAACATTTAATTCTTGAACCCAGCTGTAGAAAGCAAATCATTTCACAATGCTTTTTCAGCATGTCTGATGGGGGGGGGGGGGGTAAAATCTAAATAATAATGGTGCATCTTTTATTGAAACAATGAATCTAGTCAAAGTAGATAGAGTGTTAACCAGAACTCATCTGCCTCACAGGAATTGGGAGAGGTGGGAGGTGGGGTTCTATTGGGGTTCGTGGTAGTAAAGTAAAGTAAAAGTAAAGGCCCTCCCGTTGATCGTCGATTTGCTCGAGCGGGCCCAGTAACGTCTCCATTGGAGACTTTGTTGTTATTGTGTCTGGCATATCGAATACTCTCGGTAGCTTGCCGGGCTCTCTGAGAGGGGCGGAGGAATCGAACTCGGGTTGGCCATGTTGGCTGCGTGCAAGGCAGACACCCTACCCGCTGTGCTATCGCTCCAGCCCAGCGGTTCATGGTAAAAAATAAGTATTGGTGAAGGGAAATGTGTTTGATATTTACATAACTGAGACCTAAACCTGAAAGCTCTGTAACTTTCCCCACAGTGATTCAATAAATAAATAAATTATTTTTTTAAAAAAATCCATTTTTTCTTTCTTTTTGGGTCACACCTGGCGATGCACAGGAGTTACTCCTGGCTCAAGCACTCAGGAATTACTCCTGGTGGTGCTCAGGGGGCCATATGGAATGCTAGGGATCAAACCCAGATCAGCCGCGTGCAAGGCAAACGCCCTCTCGCTGGACTATCGCTCAAGTCCAAAAAAACATCCAATTTTTAGCACTGGGAGAAAGCTACCCAATCTCTTCAAGGACCACATGTTGAAAATGATATGACCTACAGCTACTTCACAGAGCACCAGAATCAGAATCCAATCTCCTGAGCTCTATTCCATGTTCTACTACAATGCAAATGTCTAAAAAGAGTAGCAGTACCTTGGAGGATAAAAATACTCAACTTTCATAGAGTATGAGAATAATAACCAAAGACAGTAGAAACAATAACCAGAAGGACTGGTCCATGATCAGAAGTTTGCTACAACTTGTGGGGAAGTGCAGTTAGGACAGAGAAGGGATCACCATGACAAAAATTGGAAATGATCACTCTGGACAAGAACTGGGTGCTGAAAGGAGATACAGTGATATACATGATAACCTTTCAGTAACAGTACTGCAACCCCAGTGCCTAAAAGGAGGGGTGGAGGGTGTCTTCTATAGAGGCAGGCTGGGCAGAGAGAGTGGGAGGGAAACTAGGAACACTGGTGGTGGGAAATGTACACTGGTGAAGGGATGGGCTTTGGCACGTTGTATGACAGACACTCAATGGTGAACAACTTTTGTAACTGTGTATCTTAAGGAGATCAATTAAAAAAAGAAAAAAGAGTAAATGTTCCTAGGTAGTTTATGATCTTTCTGGAAGATTAAGAAAGATAAAGTGAAAGAGGTTACAGGTTTTTATGGGACATACAAATGTCGTAACATGCCTTCATGATTTGCCCCCACTTAATTCTCTAACCTCCTCCTATTACACTACTCCCTTTTTTATTCTTCCTACTCCCTCTGATCATCTGTAAACATATGAAATATATTCACACTTCAAGATTCTCGCCCCGCAATTTCTTGTAATGTCCTTTGTTTAGTCTCCTTAAATGTCTTGCCCTTTCCCTCACTCAGGTTCTAAACCCTCAGAGAGGCCCACTCCAACCACTCTCATGCTGCTTTCATCTTTCCCAGGCACAATGTGGCAACCTGTTTTATTTTTGTCCTAATTCCACTCTGAAATTTTCTTATATTCATGTATGTGGTCTATCTCCCCACTAAAAAGTTCAGAGCAGTATCCCCACAATAAAAGAAGTACCTGGCATAATAGGAAAGTTACCACAGACAGCTGGAGAGTGATGAATGAATATTTGCCAAGCAAATGACTATAATGCACATACTATATTTAGACTTTACAAGGTGTGTTGAAGAAAAAAGGTGCAGTGATAGAAATGAAGGAACTAAAAGGTGAATTAAACTAAGTACATGGCACTAAAAACAAAGATAATTTATGAGACCAGATACAGAAACTAATACAGAAAGTCTTGGTCAATTAATCCCTGTAGGAAACAGCAAAGAGAACAGAACCCCTTTACTACCTCTAAACCATAATGAGCTCCATGAAAGTGACAGGGACTGTTCTTAAAATTAAGAACAGAATCTTAAAAATTAAAAAAAAAACCACATCATAGATAAAATTCCAAAGAAATATTTTGAGTAAGTTGAATTATTAGCTGCATTTGTGGGGTTTAGTTTATATATTAAAAATATAGTATGAATAGTCTAATCAAGATATTAATACTAAGTTTGAGCTAAACTTAAAATGCTTGGAAATATTTGCCTTAGAGTTCAAGAAATGGTACAAAATTTACTTGAGGAGCTGAAGCAACAGCACAGCGAGCAGGGCCCTTGCCTTGCATATGGGTGTTGGAACACTGTATGACTGAAACCCAACCATGAACAACTTTTTAACTATGTATCTCATGGTGATTCAATTTGGAAAAAAAAAAGTAGAGGCACTTGTGGATTGAGAAAACAAGCATTACAGTTTTCATTTGTACATACCATTCTCAGCTTTCAGTTCCTCTAGCTCTTTAGAACTAAGAAGCAAAGCTCCATTTTCATTCTCCAATTCTACCACACGCTTCTGCAAAAAGGTAAGATCCTCTTCAGAGTATGCCTAGAGTATAGAAAAATAATAATTAATGATAGCACAGCGGTAGGACGTTTGCCTTGCACGCAGCCAACATGGCCGACCCGAGTTCGATTCCTCTGCCCCTCTCGGAGAGCCCGGCAAGCTACCGAGAGTATCTCGCCCCCACAGCAGAGCCTGGCAAGCTCCCCGTGACGTATTCGAATGCCAAACACAGTAACAACAAGTCTCATGATGGAGACGTTACTGGGCCCACTCGAGCAAATCAATGAACAATGGGAGGACAGTGTCTGACAGTCTGACAGGGAGAAATTATCATATGAATGTTCATAAAACCCTTGGCATCGTCTCAAAAATACTTCAAAACACATTTACTTTATCTGCCTTGGTAATCTTTGAAATTTGTTCTTTTAATTCAAAAACAGAAAGAGAAAATATTTCATATAAAACTTCGCATATATTGGCTTTTGAATCGAAGACTGAAGGCTATAATACAAAGACAAAAATCCCAAGTCCATAGCACACAATACTTTCAAATCCACTAATAACATATTATTACATTAATGCAACCTGGTATAAAGGTTGATCACCTGTATTTTTTTTTTTTAAATCTCCAAAGAACTGGAGTGTATGCCTTGCATGGGCAGTCACAGCAGTAAGATTCCCTGCCACCTCATGGAGCACGTGGTGGCTCTGAGCACTGCCCAAGCGTACCACAATGCCATCTGAGCAACAGGCATTAGGTCCATACTACTAGGCCCAACATTGCTGGGAATGGTCCCAGGGTTCCCTCATTCTCCAGGTGAAGTCTAACTCCCAACCACCACGCTCATCCCGCACAGGACCTTGTTGGTTGGAATGTTAACTAGTGTAGCTGGCTTTGGAAAATAGCATAGAGATTCATTAAAATAATAAAAATGGAAATTCCCTATTATACAGTAATATTATTTCTAAGGGCTGGACCAATAGCACAGTGGGTAGAGCGTTTGCCTTGCACACAGCCAACATGGCCGACCCAAGTTCGATTCCTCCGCCCCTCTCGGAGAGCCCGGCAAGCTACCGAGAGTATCTCGCCCGCACGGCAGAGCCTGGCAAGCACCCCGTGACGTATTCGATATGCCAAACACAGTAACAACAAAGTCTCCAATGGAGACGTTACTGGGCCCGCTCGAGAAAACTGATGAACAACGGGAGGACAGTGACAGTGACAATTTCAAGCAACTTATTAAAGCATATGCAAATCCTAATTTGAAAAGATATTTATACCCCTACATTCAAAGGAACATTCAAAATAGTCAAACTAAAATAAATGCCCATTGACAGATGATGGACTAAAGAATCTGCTGCATTTATACTAAAGAGAGTACTACACTATCCTGGAAAAAGAAACTGTGCCTTTTGAGATAAAACGGATGGGACTTGAGATGATTAAGCTGAGTAAAATAAGTAAGGGAGTAAAGAACAATTACTGAATGACTTCACTGGCATGGAGAACATAAATAACCAAAGCAAAAAATGATCAAAACAAACCAAACACATAAAAAAATCCCAAAAACCCCAAATCACAAACTCCTAGATTCAGTGAAGACTACGGTGATTACCAGAAGGAAAGACAGGGAATGGGAGGGAGGAGTAGAGGCCTTTATTGATGGGTATACAATGAATAATACATAACATAGAGGTGGAAGCTATATATCCTAAATTGCATGGTACTATAAACCAATGATAAACCAATTTTAAAAGGTGGGGGAAGGACTGCTGAGAGAGTCAGAAGGTAAAGAGTGTGTCTTGCACGTGGCTCAGCAGGTTTGATCCCAGGTACCTCATATTGTCTCTCAAACCCACCAGGAGGAATCCTTGAGCACAGAGCTAGGAGTAAACCCTGAGAACTGCTGGGTATGGCCCCAGAAAACAAAACAAAAGTTTTAAAAAATCAAATTAACAAAATATGAAAGGAAGGGGAAATCCACAAGTCTTTCTAAGAAGTTTCTGAGACAAACATAGCTGCAAGAATGTGAGGGAGAAGGAACAATGAGAGTACAACATTTTACAGTTAAGGAAAATGCCAAATTCTATGCATACAATTAAATCTAAATCTCTAACGAACAGAAAGCTATGTAATTTGAAGGGTTGATTCAAACCACTTATGAAGCACTGACAGAATACACATCACTTTCAAGTACACAAGGAAAACTTATCCAAATAAACAAAATTCTGAGACACAAAACAAGTCTTAGTCAATTAAAAAAAAATAAGAAACACATCAGACTTTGCTTAGCATAAACTGTATAACTTTAAATGTTTATATGAGAAAAATAAGATCCAAAATGTTTGATTAGAGTTTTATCATGAGCCTTTGTAAGATTCTAAGAATTCTACAAAAGGAGATAAGAACTAAAAAGTAAATGAGTGTCTAGTAGCAGATTCTTATAAATTCACAAGCAAAATTTAATTGTGAACTTCAAACTCCATCTTTAACAGTATTAAAATATGAATTAATTCAAAATAAACTGTAAAATATGTACAATCCTGGGGTTGGAGTGATGGCACAGCAGGTAGGGCATTTGCCTTGCACGCAGCCCGACCCAGGTTCGATCCCAGCATCCCATATGGTCCCCTGGGCACGGCCAGGAGTAATTCCTGAGTGCATGAACCAGGAGTAACCCCTGTGCATCACCGGGTGTGACCCAAAAAGCAAAAAAAAAAAAAGTACAATCCTTCCAGTGAAAACTATAAAACATTAATGAAATAAGATCATTATAAACTTAGTGGTTTTGTATAAGCAGATTTATCATACTCATAGACTGAAAAATTTAGTAACATTAAGATAGCAATTTTTCCAATTCATTGAAAGACTCAACAGATTGTCAATTTGAAGGTCCATGCAGCATTTCTAGAAAAAAAATGTATAGTTTCTGTGGAAAAGCAAAGACTTGGCATGATTAAAATGATCTTCAAAAGAGGAAAGTCAAAGGAGCGATAACATCTGACTTCAAGATAAATCATAAGTTACAGTAGTAAGAGTCCGGTACCAGCATATGGACGGATAATTGACAAATGAATCTAGCAAAATACGAGCTGAGAAGAGGACTTAACTATGTTGTTAACAAAGATGACAAGCTTGGGCTGGAGTGATAGTAGCAGCGGGTGGGCATCTGTCTCACATGTGGCTAACCCAGATTTGATACCTTGCATCCCATACGGTCCCTCAGAGCACTGCCAGGAGTAATTCTGAGTGCAAAACCAGGAGTAATCCCTGAGCATTGCCTGGTATGACCCCAAAAGCCACCCTGCCCCCCCAAAAGAAGATACCAAAATATTTACATGAGAAAAGCCAAATAATTTCAAGATAAATTACCAACAAACCCAGTGTTTACCATAACATCATTTATTTCAGTTAAAGAGGGTCAGAGATGCAGCCCAGCCATAAACCACTTGCCTTGTGTATCTGAAGCCTTAATAATGATAATACAAAAGTAGGAGTTGGGAACAATATTTCGGCCAATCAACATCTGATTAGATAAAGAAAATGTGGTATATGTGCATAATGGAACATTACGCAGTTACAACAAAAGGAAATCCTGCCATTTGCAACAACACAGATAAAAAAGCCGTAGTAAAATAAGCCAGAAGCAAACACCAAATTATTTCACACACCTAAGTCACTTAAAGAAACATAAAATTTTTGATTAAAAGACAGTATTGCTTCTAGAAGGAAAAGTAATATGGACTAAAATTGGACAATTATATGACAAACAATGGAATTAAGATTTTTTAGTGCTGAAAATAATTCAACATATGCAGATACTAACTTATAATGTTGCACACCTGTAGACTATACAACTTTATAAACCAGTATAACCTCAATAAAAAAGAAAAAAAAGAAATGGTGCTGAAACAATTGGATAGTCATATGAACACAAAAAACCAAACCTGGGCATTATATCACACACACACACACACACACACACACATACCTGTGGAACACTGGCAGTGGGGATGGTGAAGCAACTTTACAAGTATCACTGTATTATTGTCATCCTGTTGTTCATCGATTTGCTCAAGCGGATGCCAGTAACGTCTCCATTCGTCCCAGCCCTGAGATTTTAGCAGCCTCTCCTTACTCATCCTTCCCAATGGTGCCATACTGGAGACTCTTTCAGGGTCAGGGGAATGAGACTCGTACTGGTTTTGGCATATTGAATACACCACAGGGAGCTTGCCAGGCTCTGCCATATTGGGGGGATACTCTCGGTAGTTTGCTGGGCTCTCTGAGAGGGACGGAGAATCTCCTGCCCCTACGGCAGGCCATCCTGACCAGGTCCCTTAGTAGGGGGGTGAGTTGAGTTTCCCTCCCTACCCCAAGCAGAGCCCCAGCAGCCAAAAACCTCCAGAACATTACAAGTATAGAACAATAATACGGAGCCTGTTACTAACCATACTACCTCAATGAATAATAACAAATATTGTTGAGGCTTCAGAAATTTAACTGTGAAAGCTAAAACTCTGTGTGAGAAAAAAGTATCTCCATGACTTGGGTTTAGGAAAATGATTCAGACAGAAGAGAATTAAAATAATTTAAAAATGATAAAGCTATTAAAATATTCGATATGCCAAACACAGTAACCACAATTAAAACTATCATAAAAAAATGAATAGGAACAAGCCACTGTGTGAGAAAAAAAACAGTTAACATTCACCTGATTATCAATTGGCACTCAAACTATATAAAGAACTCCTAACAACTATAAAGAACTTCTAACAACTTGAAAATAAATAAAAGAGGAAAATATATTTTTAATTTGCAAGTGACTTGAACAGACATTTAACAAAAATATACAAATAGCCAAAGGTTTCAAGAAAAAATTACTCAAGCAACAAAGGACCAAAGGTAATAGAAATGGAGAGTTGACCCACAGAACTGAGGGGGTTTACAAGGGGTGGATGAACAATGACCTTGGGACACTGGTGAAAGAAAGCAGGCCCTCAGAGAGGGGTGCACAGTGCTAAAATGACTGATAGGGACAAAGCAATAGTACAGCAGGTAGGGCACTTGCCTTGCATGCGGCAGGCCTGGGTTCTATCCCTGACACGCCATATGGTAGACCCCCAATGATACCTGAGCACGGGGGCAGGAGTAAGCCCTGAGCATAATCAGATGTGCACCTCTCCCCCCACCAAAAAAAAAATGTACGCATAAAACTATTGTCAGTAATACTGTAAATTGTGGTATCTCAATTTAAAAAATTGTGGTATCTCTTTGCCTCCTGCACTCTCTCCCCCCTCTCTTCCCTTCCCCTCTCTCCCCTCCCTCCCCCCTCTAGCATTAGGTATGAGTAAATTAGAATAAATGCAGCAAAGACAAATGAATCATGTTCACTTAAAGTGCACATTTTGGACCAGAGAGGAGTACATCAAGTAAAGCTTGCCTTGCACACAGCTGGCCCAAGTTCCAATCCCCAGCACTACCTATGACCCCCCTGAGCACTGCCAGGAGCGATGCCAGAGCACAGAATCAGAAGAAAGTCCTCGGAACAGTCAGGTGTGTCCCATTCCCCCATGCCCCATAGTCCCCAACCTCCAAAGAATACATTTACTTACCTGAGTGCCCTCACTGCAGACATCTGGGGAAGAAGTCTGAGAAGCTATTTCATAGCTTCCCACGGTTGGTTTATTCAGTAACTGGCTAATTTCTTCAGACTTTTGCTGGAGTTGCTCTGAGGAAAATAAAATAAATAGAAATGATCTCTGGTTCTAGCCTAAACACAGTTATTCTCTTCTAAGGACATACAATATGCTACTCTGTGGTTCAATTATCTTAATTCATATTAAAATGCCAACAATATTTAAAATTTTTAAATGTTCTCAGATACCAAAAGAGAAATCTCAAAGTAAAATAATGTAATGTATTTCTTAAAATCATTTTTACTTTCCCTCTGAAAAAGCCTTTGTCTGTTTTATTTTCTTTTCATTCCTCTTCATTTACACATTGTGAATCCCACCTGGACTCAATAACATGCCTCTGTAAGTTTTATGACCAAATTCATGAGTTTCAAATTAGAACATGCTGCAGTTAAGAGGAATGCATGCTCATTTAACATACTGTCCCCATGAACTTTCTCCTCAAGCCTTCCTGGTTAAGGTTCAGTTATTTAATACAGATGAATTTTCAAATTATTCTTTCTTGATTCAAGTTCTACTCCTTTCAGTCACCAAACCCTTCAGACTGCCACGTTTCACAAAGCATTCTTTTTATAATTTGGCACATCACTATGTATAGTTTTTGAGAGCATAATGTTAATTATATTAAGCCAGATAATAACTTCAGAGATAGGAGAAACAACAAAATGTACAGGAGACACCTTTCTTAATCCTTCTATTGATTCTACCTACTTAAGCAAAAGACACCATGAACAGATTCCTACAGTTTTAAAGGAGCAGCCACTCAGATGCTAAATAAGTCAGCTTCAAAAACAATCAAATACTGACCTTCCAGCTGCTTCATGGACTGGGCTGAATGAACTTCCTGTTCATGCTGTTCTTGGAGAATTTTTGAGTTTTCAATTTTTAGAGCATCATAGGCAGAGTGCAGTTCTTGTTCAGTCTTTTGAAGACTTAAAATGTGGGAAGTCTTCTCTTCTAATTCTTCTTTGTGCTTTATCTCCAAATCATTGTACTGGGACTGTAGTTCAGCCTGTGCTTGGCCAGCTTGCTCAAGCTGTTTCAGAAGATGATGCATTTCTTCCTGCAGGTTATGCAAGGATAATTTTTTTTCTGCCATTTCAAGTTCCATCTTTTCCATCAGAATCTTGGACTCCTGTCTTTCTGATTCCACAACATTCCTTAAAGCAGTATGTTCAGCTTCCATTTGCTGTAACTGCTCAGAAAGAACCTACAGAAAAGAGACAAAGTCTCATGCTTCATAAATGAAATAAGCGATATGCAGTACGCAGGGCTTAGTCATGGCTCTGCACTCAATGATCACTCCGGCAGGCTAGGAGGAACATATGGGGTGTCCAGGATCAAACCCGGGGCAGCTGTGTACATGGCAAATGTCCTACCTGCTGTACTATCTCTCCAGTCCAGCATCAATTCTCTAAAGGCTAATGAAAGGATTTTTCTAGTGGCTGCTTTCCATGAGTAAACTCTCATGGAAATGAGTACCACAGAAGAGAGGCAGTGAGCACTGCACTGCACTGTAGCACTGTCCTCCCATTTTTCACTGATTTGCTCAAGCGGGCCCAGTAACGTCACCATCATGAGACTTGTTGCTACTGTGTTTAGCATATTGAATATGTCACGGGTAGCTTGTCAGGCTTTGCCATACGGGCAAGATATCTCAGTAGTTTGCCGGGCTCTTCGAGAGGGGTGGAGGAATCGAACCCGGCTCGGCCTGGCCGGCTGCGTGCAAGGCAAATGCCCTACTGCTGTGCTAAACTGATTCCATATAATATCATGGATAAATTTTGAGGACACTGTCAAATGAAATAAGTCAGTCACAAAAAGACAAATTGCTATGATTCCACTTTTATAAGATACTTAAATAATAACAATCAGAGGAAATACCTGGTTTCGCTGTTCAGCAGTAGTCAGCTCCTGTTGCAGTAAGTCCACAACCTGAGCACGGCCCAACAAGGCTTCTTCATGTTCTTCAAGCTTCCTCTGCAGTACCCTCAATTTCTGTGAAGAAAATATTTTAAACATAATGTCCTAACCAAAAAGAGCACCTTTACCAGCTTACCCTACCAAATGTCATGAAGATCTGTGTACTTAAGTTTGTGATACTGAGGATGACAGATTGAAGAGTGGAACACCAGTATAACATGCTCCCCCATTCAGCAGCAACAAATAATATCCAAAAAAATGTCTCTTCCAGAGCACGGCCAAAACCAGACTGAGACGCAAACAAGTATATGAATTAGAGAAAGTTCTTAATAATTAAGAGGAAATGACACATACTCACTTTGTAGTTTTCATTCATTAAGGAGAATGATCAAGGACTCTGTAGGCAAGACCTATTTTTCTTACAACTTCACACACAGTACATGCATTCAGTAAACATTTGTTGAATAAACAAATCAATGATACATTCAAAATATGATTCTGAAACTGTAGTGGCACATTCTGAAGGACTGCTTAGAAACTAGAAGCTTTCACTCAGACAATTAAATGCATCAACCGTGAAATACCACTAGAATCCCTGTGGATTCTACACACTCCACTAAATACACACTAACTAAAAACAAATGCCTTTGAGTTAGTAGATGATAAACTTTAAAACAATGAAGTCAATTTTTACACTTAATGAATGCTTAAAGTTTATTGATTTAATAAATTTTTATGACTTCCAAATCATCTCATGTTTAATTTTTTCAGTTTAAAAATGACTTCATTGATTGAAGCTTTGGCTTGAGTTTTTAATATACAAAGACAGCTACTACTAGCAAACAGAAAAGAAATCAATTTCTGACGACCACATACAATTATGAATTAAACTCAGCTTTTGAATACCATCACCATGGTTAGAGGCAAGTAAGGTATGTGAAAAAACAATGTGCAAGACACAAAACACAAAAAAGAAGCCAACTAAGGACCATCCCAACACCAAGTGAAAAGCTGTGGATGAGGCCTGGAAAGTGACTATGATGATAAAATGTTAGCGAAATTCATTCTGCTAAGTATTAGCAACACACCTGTTGCATCTCTGCTTCCACATCTGCCTGGGTTACTAACTGAAGAAGCTCATCTTCATGAAGACGAACTTGTGTTTCAAAGCGGGCATCTTTCTCTCGGACCACCTGCTGCATGGAACTCAACTGAAGACACACCAGAGTAACTAAACAAGTTACACTCCTTGAATATGGAATATTGTATAAACAAAACTCCAACTCTTCTCCAAAGACAGACACTGAAAACTTGATAGGAAATAGCTATTTTATAATTTTTAAGTTTCAAAAATGAGAATGTTGGATGAAAGACAGGCCCACAGTTTCTTTCAAACATGAAAGAATCCCTATTATCTAATTCAAGAGTTTGTCTAAATATACATTTTGATTAAAAAATTATTTTTTCACAGCTAACAGAATGTTAAAATATCTAAATGGTATTGTTTATAAGAGTTCTACAGAGGTCAGATTCTAAACATACAAAGAAAAATTAAATTTCTATTAAGCCTGAAACACTTCATTCAATATCAGACTCATGCTCAAAACTTTCAATGACACTCTCCTGCCCTATACAGCTAACTTCAAAACTAATGTAACTGTTACTCAAAACCCTTTAAAGCTAGTTATACACATAATTTTTTCTAGTCTTATTTTCAAGAAACTTCTTCTACCAAAAAACTTGGTATATTTTCAAACCAAGACCATATCTCAACGATTCATTTCAGCAAAATGCGTTAAATGTTTCTAGATAACATAACAAACTCTTAATAGAATAAAATGGAAATAAACAAACTGTAAACTACTTAGTACAATATCTCATTTTGTTTTTAAATGTTGTGTCTGTGTACTTAGTTATTCATTTCTTTAAGATCTGTGGTTAAGCTAAACATCTAGTTCTTAACTTTCCCATTTGAAATTGGTCCTTTAACCATGGCTGACTTTTCAGTATCTAGAATTGACTCTGGCTTTCTTTGTAGATAGACTTAAAAAAATAAACGTTATAAATTTTTTAATTATATAAATTCTGAACATCACTATAAATCTGGAATCTTATGCTAAAGTATATAGACACTGGAGTCCCTTATTAGCCAGAAAACACCTATAAACAATACATCCTTTCCCTTAAATGTACTATATTCTTTTTTTTCCTCTCTGAGAATTTCACACATACCTCATAAATAGAATACTTTCTCCATGTTACCTGGAATATTATCTATTCAATAAATATATGACTAAATCCTAACTTTTCTGAGATCATTTTCTAATATGACCTTCCCCTGTTGTCACTATCAGAATAATAACCTCTCACCTCTCAAAATAATTTGTGTGACCATATATTATGCACTTACTCCAACTGACTTGCATTTTGATCAAATGTAAAAAAATTCATAAATCTTGATATTCCATGTTTGAAGCTATATATTGATCAAAAAAAATAACTGATAGTCTATTTTTCTCTATCCTGTCTTTTATTAGTGCTGAATTGACTCTGGCTTTCTTTGTAGATAGATTCAGAAAATAAACCTTATGAATTATTTAACTATATAAATTCTGAACATCACTATGAATTCGGAATCTTATGCTAAAGTGTATAGACACTGGAGTCCCTTATTGGCCAGAAAATATGCTTGTAGCATATAAAAGAACAGAAGAAGAGTTAACATTGGTAAAAGATTTCAGTATACACAACTTTTACTACACACACAGAAGAATATATGCTCATAAACAGGAGGCACCACTAATATTATATTATCAATCAAGTAAGTCCTCAAGGTATAAAATTGGCTACTATGCAAATAACTCTGCAGAAAAGATTCTTTCATGAGTAAAAAGCATTTTCGGAGCTGGAAACAAAAGCTCAAGTGGCAGAGCACAAGGCTAGCATGTGTGAGAGCCTAAATGCAATCCCCAGCAATGCATGGCTCCCTCAGGACCAGAGAGGAGGCCACGATGGCTCCAGAACTACAGAGTGGGAACCCATATTACTTTAAAAAATCATTCTCAAAGGATAAACAATATGATCCATCCAAAAACAGGAAACCAGGCTTGAGAATGTCAGTCCAAACATACTGATAGCAGAAATATTTAAAAGAATATCAGTGCCATTTAACACTGAATCACATAACCTTTCCATTACTTACAATGTAATTACGTTACCTACACGTGCATGTAATAATAATCTTAATTGCTTATTATTAAATAATTATTTATAACTAATAATACATAATTAAAAATACTTAATAAGTAATCTTCTGATTATATCTTAATTCCCATTAAGATTTTACATAGGGAAATGGACCTCGACATTGTATTTTGGTTTATCTACCAACCTCTAAACTTAGTATGAGAGGTTATTCCTACATTACTATCTACTTAGTATGACAGGTTATTCCTAACATATTACTATCTTTAATTTATCTATTAAAGATAAATGTCTATGTGATGCTAAAAATCTGAACCTGTATAAGTAAAAATCAACTAGCAATTAGATTATGTATCAAGGTAAATAGCACTTCCACATTCTTCTACTACCACCTCTTCTGATTTCTACTCTAACCCTCTTACGCCTAAACTTTCTTCTACTCTGTCAAAGTCCTAAAAAGCAGAATTGACTGAATTAACTAGTCATGCAATAACTCACTAAACCAGTATTTCCCAAAGTGCCTCCCATTGGATAGTAATAATCTCTGATGCAGCTGGTGCGGGCAGTGGAATTTTCTCTCTGTTCATTTAAAGAAAGAATTCCTGGACTGGAACAATAGTACAGCAGACACTGCACTTGACTTGCATGCAGCCAAGCTTGGTTCCATCACCAGCACCCTCTATGGTCCCCCAAACCTACCAGAAGTGATTCCTGAACACAAGAGTCAGAGTAAACCCTAGCACTGCTGGGGAAAGAAAAAGAAAGGGAGTAAGAAGGGAGGGAGAGAAGTGAGGAAGGGAGAGAAGGAGGATGGAAGAGAGGAGGTGGTGGTCAAATAAGTTTGAAAATCTATACACTAGATTTTCTTGATTCTTTACCTTAATAATTGTCATTATTAAGTATATTAATAATTCTTTATCTTACTGATTATGAAGTACCCCATCCTACCTGAGCAGCTTGTTCAGCCTGTGTTTGGCTGAGCTGGGCTTGCAAAGTGCCAATGAGTTCTTCCTTCTCTTGGAGCTGTTGTTTCATCATTACAAGTTCTTCCATTTCTGTGGAACTCTTATTAAACTGAAGATATACAATTTTAAAGCTTTTATTAAAGAAAAAAGAAGTACTCGAGATAAACAGACACTTCTCTGAAGACATACAGATGGTAGCTGTGTGTCTCCACAGGTATCATGAGGTATCATTGCACACTAGTCAAACATATAACAAAAAAAGACTGAAATCAACCAGCACTGGCAAGAATGTGTTGAAAATAAGACCTTAGTCCCTGCTGGTGGGGAATGAATGGCCTTGAGTTCAGCCTCTGTGGAAAACAGTATGGAAACTTCTCAAAAAAGTAAGAAGAGTTTCCATGACTAAGCAATCCCACTTTTCATCATCTACACCAGGAATACAAAAACACTAACTTGAAAGATATATGCACACTTATGTTCAGGGTAGCACCAAAGTACTATAGATAGGATATGAAAAGATTCCAAATGCTCCATGATAAATAAATTAAAAAGTTGTGGTATATAAATATAATGGAATATTACACGGCTAAAAGAAGAGATGATATCATACATAGCAAAAGAGCAATAAAGGGCCAAAGACAACACAATGAGAGAGCTGATCCATACAACTGAGTTGGGGGGGGGGGGATGAAAAGAAGGGCTGTTGGATCCTTGGAGAAGAGAGGTGGGTACACTGGTGATGGGTGTGGTGCTGGAATTATGTGCATGAGAAACCATCATTAACAGTCTTGTGAGACACAGAATCTCAATCAATTAAAAAAAAGGAAGATAAAATCTTGCGGTTCCTTGCAACTGGGATGAAGCTGGAAATGTTAAGTGAAATAAGTCAAAGGGAGGGAAAATACCAGATGACCTAATACATCTGTGGCATATCAAGAAACAAAACAAGGGAATTAACAATATTGATGGATTACAAAACCTGGGCTTTTGAAATAATCACATAGTGGGGTAGGAGTAGAAAGGCAAGGCAGGCTGTAAGTGAACATATACACAGTGACGAAGGGGCGAAGGATCTTTGGCATCTTGGTGGTCGGGCTAGTGTAATAATGTACAACAAAACCACAAAAGTTATCATGTTACCTAAAATACAATAAGAAAAAATAAAACAAAATAAAAGTTAAAAACTCACCAAAAAAAAGAACTAGAACTCACAATTCTTTGACCTCTCCTTCTCACCTGCCCCATAAAGCTATCAGTGTTCTAACATCCCCTTAACAAAAAGAAAATTACAAGTTCTGAAGCTTTTAAAAAGTAATTAAAATTCTCTCTCAGAGGAAGCAACAGCAAATTAGTAGGAGCTTTTCAATGTCTCTGAATCCTCCAATATACAGAAAAAACAAATCTTCCCACAAACTTCCTATTATAATCAAGTACAGAAAAAAATATTTTTAATACATTCCTAGTGTTACATATTATACATTCTAGTCTCTGCATTCAAAATATAGTTATATATTTAATATTAAATCACAGGTTATAGTTCATTTATATGAATAATATTATGCATATTATATTAAGATGATTAACATGTTTTCATTAATAATTTTTAATATATTTGGTTAAATGAAATTCTGTCAAAATTAATTTTAGCTGTTTCTTATTTATTCTTTGTATTTAACTAATAATTTTTAAATTATGTACATGACTCATATTATATTACTAATCAACAGCATTTGTATAAAACAAAATGAAGGACAGAGGAAAAATTGTGCACAACTAAAGGGTGTGAGATCCTGGAAAGCAATTAAAAAATGTGTGGGCATCACAACCAAGTATGCATGAACTCAGTCATCACAACAGCACAAAAGAATTAGAAAGCGAAGAAAAAAGATAATTAAAATTTTAAATGCATCTTAAAAACTGAGGAGAAAAAAGCTAAAGAACAGAACAATGTGCTTATAGGTGAAAAGTATACACAAAGTCAAGCAGAGGTTTAATAAAAAAATATGAAACTGCAATCTATTTTAAGATATTCTTAAAAAAATAAGAAATTATAAGACATGAATAAGCAACATGGAGTAAGAATTAGAAAAATTCAGAAATACGGTGACAGAATTTTGGGAGAAGTTAGTATGGAAAAGAAAAAAAATCATTCCATAAAACAAGGTGCAATAAGGAATACAAAAGTAAATAAACACAAAATAGAATGTCTTAAAACTTAAATAAGAATTCTACTTTTAAATGAAGACATTAAAAGAACTGAAAGTGACAAATGTTAAAGAAAATTAAAGAGTAACAGAAGTTCCTTAAGTAGAAAACAGACCAATAGACTGAGCAACATAATATGAGGCTATTGTTCTCATATAAAAATATGTAAAATCACATATAAAACAACAGGTATCTACAGATTATCAACTAAGAGTGACAAAAAGGCAAGCAGCCCAGTAAAATTAGCAGATTTAAGATAGAAGGGAAGGAAACTGACAAATATACGTGAATATAAATTCAGAGGACAACGAGAATAATACCTTTTTCAAGTGAATGACTGACCGACCACTAGATTAATGATTTGTTAACTTGACTGTTTTGAGGTAACTCACACCCTACCTGTGTTGCTTGCTCTGCTTGTGCCTGGGCAAGTTGGTCTTGCAAGCAGCTAATGAGTTCCTCCTTCTCCTGGAGTTTAAGTTTCAATTTTTCTACTTCCATCTCTTCTGTAGAACTCTTGTCAAGCTGAAAAAATAGAGGACACAAAGTCATCTATTTAAAAGAATAGAGGGGTGGGGAATGAGACTGTTCCCCAACTGAATTCCACCAGATGTTGAAAGAATGCCTGGCCGCCCACCTATGAGATGGTCAAACTTCTTCATCAAGACCCTGAGGGGTTTGAGGCTCTTCGCGTTCCTGGAGCGAGCAAACACCACTGGGTTACTCTAGCACGCGACAAGGACAAATGGAGACTTTACTGGCGCCTGCTCGAGCAAATTGATGAGCAACAGGATGACAAGTGATACAAATAATAGTTGAGTGGGACTGGTGCTGAAATATGCCTAAAGCTCAACTATCAGTAACTTTGCAAATCACAGTTCTTTAAAGAAAATAAATCTTAATTAAAAATGAGTTACAGCTGGTATAATACTTGTCTTGAAAGTGGATGATCCAGATTCACTCCCCAGCATCCCACATACTCCCCAATGCCCCAGCAGGAGTAATTCCGTGAGCAGAGAGTCATGAGTAAGAACTGCGCACTGCTGGGTGTGGACCCCAAACAAACAAAAAGCTAAAAAGCTCCATTCTCCCAAGGATAAAAAAAAGGTGAAAAGAACTATACTTATACATTTTCTATACCTTTTCTTCTAGTCTGAGCAATACAAGCATATGATTAGTTTTACCAAACAAATAAAAACTGATAAAAAACTGATGTAAAACCAAGGATGAAATTCTAGTTTTTCAATTTCAGTATGGTCAGGTGTCTCCCATTAGACCCATTCTGCCTCAGATAGCAGCTAAACATTGAAAAAGATAGTAAAACAGCTATCTGAAAATGCTAGTAAGCAACACAAACCAAGATGATACAGAGAGTTTGGAAAAAATGGCATTTTAAGTGTCCCACTTCTATGTCCTTCAGTCCAAGGCCAAAACCAGTTAAAACCATGTATGACTGAAACTTATTTCCAACTATGAATAATTAATAAAAAATTAACTTAAAAACTCAAAAACTGTCTTGAAAAACCGAAGGATGGAATTCAGGAAACAACACTGCCTATGAGAACAAAACTGTTGTAATAAAAGTCAGTAAAGACAAATCCAAATCTTTAAATACTATTTTTTCCCAAAAGGTCTTATTTACACTGAACAGATTTTGCCTCCCTATTAAATTCAGCCCCCACCGACTAACCCAACAAATCTAACTGTGCTTACTGGAGCAAAACAATAATTTCAAACTTTCTTCTGCCTAATGGAGTAAGAATTAGAAAAATTCAGAAATACGGTGACAGAATTTTGGGAGAAGTTAGTATAGAAAAGAAAAAAATCTTTCCATACAACAAGATGCAATAAGGAATACAAAAGTAAATAAACACAAAATAGAATGTCTTAAAACTTAAACAAGAATTCTACTTTTAAATGAAGACATTAAAAGAACTGAGAGAAAGTGACAAATGTTAAAGAAACTTAAAGAGTAACAGAAGTTCCTTAAGTAGAAAACAGACCTAATAGATTCTGTTCATTTCTTCTCCCCATTTTTTGATGGGATTGGAAGTTTGTTTTTGTTTTTTTTTTTCTCGTACAGTTTTACTAACATCTCGTATATCTTGAATATTAACCCCTTATCTGATGGACATTGGGTAGACAAACTTTCCCATTCAGTGGACTCTCTCTGTATTTGGTCAGTGTTTCTTTTGAGGTGCAAAAGCTTCTTAGTTTAATATAGTCCCGTTTGTCTATGTTTGTTTCCACTTGCTTGTTCAGTGGAGTTTCATCCTTAAAGATGCCTTTAGTTTCAATGTCATGGAGGGTTCTGCTACATTTTCCTCCATATACCTTATGGATTCAGGTCTGATAGTGAGGTCTTTAATCCACCTTGATCTGACTTTTGTGCCTGGTGTTAAAGGTCTGAGTTCATTTTTTGCAAGTAGTTGTCCAGTTTCTCCCAGCACCACTTGTTGAAGAGGCTTTCCTTGCTCCACTTCACATTTCTTGCTCCTTTACCAAAGATTAAATGATCATATGTTTGAGAGTCTGTGACAGAATACTCAACTCTGTTTCATTGGTCTATAGGTCTGTTTCTATACCAATATGATGCTGTTTTAATTACTACTTCTTTGTAGTACAGTTTGAAGCTGGAGAAGGTGATGCTACCCTTCTTTTTCCTAAGGACTGCTTTAGCTATTTAGGGGGGACTATTGTTCCATATGAATTTCAGGAGTGTTTTGTCTATTTTTCGAACAATGTCATGGGTATCTTTATGGGGACTGCAATGAATCTGTATAATGCTTTGGGGAATATTCCCATTTTGACAATGTTAATCTTCCTGATCCATGAGAAGGGGGTGGATTTCCATTTCCTAGTGTCCTCTTTTATTTCTTGAAGTAGTGTTTTGTAATTTTCTTTGTATAAGTATTTAAGCTGATTTCAAGGCACTTGATTTTCTGAAGCACTATTGTGAATAGGATTGTGTTTTTAATATCTTTCTTCTCTTTCGTTATTTGTATATAGGAAAGCCATGGAATTTTGGGTGTTGATTTTGTAGCCTAATTTGTTGGCTTTCTTGAGTTAGTTGAAAGTCTAGGTCAAAACTGGCATTTCATTTCAAGCTTTCCTTTAGCCCTTGATTTTTCCTATAGTATTTATGCCTACGAAATGTCATTAGTACTGTATTATTTTGGTTTCATAAACGTTTATGATTAATAAGTACACAAAATAGGAAAGCTTTTTACCATCAGAAAACATGTATGATACCCAATAAACAAACCTTGGGAAGTAGCTCCTCTGAATGAGGTTCTATAGGTAGAACAGTTCCTCCTTGTGCCTTCATTTCTTCTATGCATTTGTTCAAAGAAGTTAGTTTGGCCTTAGCATGAAGTTTTAGCTTTTTTATTTTGTTATCAGCAGATTTTCTTTCTTCCTGTCAGAGAACAATGAGAGAAAATACATATACGTTTACTCCTCACTTATTGAGCATATAATAAAAGTAATGCTTAAAAAGCATTATCTGCAGGACTGGAGAAATAATCAGTCTCTAGTCACTTAAAGAAAAAAATTGTGACTGGCTCATTTATCAAATTTGTTAAAGCTGATAAATAAGTCATTTGTCAAATGCTCAGTAGAAAGAAACTATGGTAGGCCTGCCCGGGGGGGAAAGGGTGTTGCTCCATTCGCCCAATCCTCTCTGGAAAGAAAGATGGCGGCCGCACGGGAGCCTTGTGGACAGCAGGTTTGAGCCGGGGGTGGGAGCGGCAGGGACCTCATGGGAAGGGGGGCGTTGTGGGCCGTCCCGACCGAGGTCACCAGCTGCCCCCCATGAGCGGCTATCCAGCACAGCCACGACTCCAGAGCACAGAAACCAATCTCTTAACTATCTAACTTTTAATAGAAATTCTTCCAGGGTAATAAGTAAAATAGCAGAAATCCAAAATCAACATTTAATTCTTGAACCCAGCTGTAGAAAGCAAATCATTTCACAACGCTGCTTCAGCATGTCTGATTGGGGGGGGGGGGGGTCGTAAACGCTAAACAATAATGGTGCATCTTCTATCGAAACAATGTATCTAGTCAAAGTAGATAGAGTATTAACTAGAACTCATCTGCCTCACAGGAATTGGGAGGGGTGGGAGGTGGGGTTCTATTGGGGTTTGCGGTTAAAAATAAGTATTGGTAAAGGGAAATGTGTTTGATATTTACATGACTGAGACCTAAACCCGAAAGCTCTGTAACTTTTCCCACAGTGATTCAATAAAGAAATAAATTTAAAAAAAAAAAGAAAGAAAGAAACTATGGTACCTGGAGAGTTTCATCCTTCTGTTGCAGCTGAATATCCTTCTCTCTAATTAATTCTTTGAGCTCTACCAGCAACTGCTCTGAATATGCCAGGCGTTCCAAAACATCTTGCTGTGATGTATTATTTAACTCCATGTCAGATTCTTGAGGTAATTCCTAGAATTTAATTTTTAAAAGTTCAATGCACCAGAGAAAAGATATTCACTTTCAAAAGGGAATTCTTTTAGTTCAACTTCACCTTATCTTTTGCAAAAATTATATTCTTACTTAAGAAAGTCTGAAGGGCCAGGAATATGTCAATAGTAGAGTGCTTGCCTTTATTTATGAGGTTCAGGGAGGGAGGAAGGGAAGAAAGGAAGGGAGGAAGCAACTTAGTTCCCCAAGTCTGAGATATAATAATCATTATAACAATAACCACAAAATATTATTTTGCAATGTTAAGCATTTTACAACTATCTCTTTAGAGTGGTTTCCTATTTTACCAAAAACACAATTATAAGCAAAGATCAGGACCCATTAAGTGGATCAGAACTCATAAGTGGACGGGGGTCTAAATACTTAAATTAAGAATAAATGGAGTCTTTGACCTCCTCCCACCCCATTGCGATCAGTTCTTCCAAGTCCTGTGGACCAGAAAAGACCCACCGCTCAGCCTTTGGTCCCAACCCAAAAAGGCATACGGTTGTTTGATGAATCAGGAAAGAACACCTATCAATTTGCTACCTACAGTGAATTTGCCTAAACTAGTAACCCACAGGTTCAGGGTGAAAGGATGGAAAACAATCACACATGTCAATGGCACACACACACACAAAAAGCTGGAACACACTTATATCATAACAAATAGCATTATAAAAAAAATAGAGACAGTGATGGACATGATTTACTGGTTAGGGAACAACAGATCAAGAAGTACTTTGATTAATATTTACACATCAAATAAAGACTAACCATAAAGCTCTGCTCACAAACATAAAAAAAAACACACACACACACAATGATGGAAACACAATAGCATTGGAGACTTCAATACTCCACTATTGCCAACAAATAGATCATTCAGAGAGAATATTAGTAAAGAGACAAGAGCTCTAATCAAGGAGCTAGAAGATCTGGGCTCACTGGACAAATATAGGGTTCTCATCACCAAAAAGCTGAATATACATTCTTCTTTAATGCACATGGAACATTTTCTAGGATAGATTATAAATTAGGGCATAACTAAAATATACATAAATTTACAAATATAGAATTCGAACAAAGTATCTTTTCAGATCATTATGTCATGAAAGTATAAGTTAACCACAAAAAGAGTGGAAAACTCCCAACAGTTGGAAGTCGAACAAAACACTGCTAAACAACTGAATCAAAGAGGAAATCAAAGAGGAAATGAAAAGACTCCTTGAAAGCCTCTTCAACAAGTGGAACTGGAAAAACTGGACAGATACCTGCAAAAAAAAAAAAAAAGTGAACTCTGACCTCTGTATAACACCAAGCACAAGAGTCAGATCAAAGTGGATTTAACACCTCCATATCAGACCTGAATCCATAACGTACATGGAGGAAAACGTAGGCAGAACCCTCCATGACACTGAAGTTAAAAGCATCTTTAAGGATGAAACACCTCTGATAAAGCAAGTGGAAACAAACATCAACAAATGGAACCATATTAAACTAAGAAGCTTCTGCACCTCAAAGAAAATAGTGACCAAAATACAGAGAGAGCCCACGGAATGTGAAAGCATATTTACCCAATACCCACCTTATAAGGGGTTAATATCCAGGATATCCAAGATGTTAGCAGAACTGTACAAGAAAAAAACCTCCAACCCCATCAAAAAATGGAGAAAAAATTAAGAGAAGCTTCCTCAAAAAAGAATACAAAAAGCCAAAAGGCACATGAAAAAATGCTCTACATCACCAATCATCAGAGAGATGCATATCAAAACAACAATGAGATATCATTTCACACCACAAGAGACTGGCACACATCAAAAAGAACAAGAACAACCAGTGCTGGCTCAGATGTGGGGAGAAAGGGACTCTCTTTCATTGTTGGTGGGAATAACCGACTGGTCTAGCCTTTCTGGAAAACAATATGAGCACTCCTCAAAAAACTAGAAATTGAGCTTCCGTATGACACATCAACACCAATTCTGGGAATATATCCTGAGGGTGCAAAAAAAAAAGTACAGTAGAAAAGACATCTGCACCTGTATGTTCATTGCAGAACAATCCACAAAAAAAATCTATGCTCTTATTTTCACTGCAGCAGTATTCACAATAACCAAAATCTGGAAACAATCAAAGTGCCTAAGAACAGATGACTGGATAAAGAAATCGGAATATATATATATGTATGTATATATATATATATACACACACACACACAATGGAATGCTATTTGACTATAAGGAAAGATAAAGTTATGCAGTGTGCTGCTATCTTGATGGTTCTAAAAAGTATCATGTGGAGTGGAATTAGCCAGCTAGTGGAATTAGCCAGCAAGAGAGGAACAATCAGGCCAAGAATGATTTCTCATAAGTGGGATATAAAGAAACTTCACAAGGGAATAACAAAGCCCCAAAGGAAACAGACACAAAAAGCTGGCTACAGTTCTATTCCGTAGAAAACCTGCCTCTGAAACAGGATATATTAAGGAGAGGAACATTAGAACAATGGTGGGAGGAGGAAAGTACCTGTTGAGGTCGGACGGGGCATAAGGGAAACTAAGGATACTGAAGCTAAGCGACACTGATGAAGGGATGGGTGATGCTATAAAACTGTATGCCTGAAACTTAACAATAACTTTTAACTCTGTAATCCACCGTGATTAAAAAAAGAAAGGGATTTTAAAAAAACAAAAAGAGAAAATATACACACCATTATTCATTGTAGCACTCAGTATAGTACCTAAATACAGAATCAACCTAGGTATCCAAAAATGGATGGATTATGAAGATGTGGAATTTATACACAACAGAATACTATGCAGCTGCAAGGAACAATAAAATCATGCAATTTGCTGCAACCTGGATGGTACTGGAAGATATCATGTGAGTGAAATAAGCCAGAAGGAGGACAAATAACAAGATGATCTCACTCATCTGTGGTATGCAGAATAACTGGACAAGAAAATGCAATATAGAAAAGAGTAGATGCTGAGATCATCCCTGACCCGACAGTATAGGAAGCAGAAGTACAGAGAAAGAAAAATGGACAGAAAAAGGAAGAAGACGAGAAGGGGAAATAACAGGGAGCAGGAGTTAGGGGCCTCAGGCATATAGGGGGAGTGGTATGACTATAACCCAAACCACAGATCCAACAGCACTGAAAATATGAGATCCACACTATAACTACCAAACTTTAAAGTGTGCCTGTCAAGGCAGTAGGCTGGGGTGAGGGTGGGGAGGCAGGCGGGAATTCAGAAAGCTGGTGAAAGAAAACTGACAACGTTGGTGGGATTAGCACTAGAATGTATGCACTAGCACCGTATGTCTAAAACTCAACTATCAATTGTAAATCGAGGTTCTTTAATTAAATATATTTTTTGAAAATTTAAAAAGAAAGAATAGGAAAACATTCTCAATGAGAAAGCAATATTACTATCTTTTCAGAAAATCCGATCACATATTTTGATTTCTTATGTGGTTCTAAGTAAGTACAAAATACACTGTAAAAGTAGCAGTAGAGAAATTTATACTAGTAAACAAATGTTCTCAAACCCCAAATGGTTCTTCATTTGCACCATTTGTAATACAAACCTTCCTTTGAAACAGGAACATACACTCAAGGAGTTAAAACAATCTAACACTAAACAAGGTTCAGGGGCAAAAAGAAAAGATCTTGCACATATCACCCAGAGTGCTGGAGAGAGAGTACAGCAGGCAAGACATTTGCCTCGCATGCAGATGACCACAGGTTCAATCCCCAGCACCTCATATGGTGCCCCAAACCCACCAGGAGTGAACCCTGAGTCCAGAGCCAGGAGTGAGCTGTGAGCACTGCCAGGTGTGGCCCCCAAACAAACAAGCAACAACAAAAAAAATCTACCTCTGGCTATTAAGTCAATCTGACAGAATCTTCCATCTAACACAAAGTATCCTCCCCTCCCCTCCCCTCCCCTCCCTTCCCCTCTCTCTCCCTCTGTCTCTGTCTCTCTGTCTCTGCCTCTCTCTTTCTCTCTTCCCCCCTCCTCTCCCTACCCCCCACTCTTCTGGACTACATGTGGTGGTTTTCAGAGCTTACTAGTGACTCTGCACAGGAATTACTCCTAGCAATACTTGGATGGCCATATGTGGTGCCAGGGATCAAATAGTGTCGTACACAAGCAAAGTAAGTACCTTAGCCATTGTACTATCTCTCCATCCCTCCTTCCATCTTAATTTTTTCCCCCTAAAAACAATACAAAACATATCTCTATCAGTCTAATTCAGAACAGAGTTACTTACAGTGTCCATAGAAGTCGTCATATTCGGATCAGTGTCATCACCTGATAATTCATGTAAAACAACATTTGCCAATCCTGACAATCGACTCAGCATTACTACAGAAAAAAAGAAAAGAATCAATAAAGTAGATCTAGTTTCTCTTATACTGGTAAAAATATTATCTATAAATAAAATAGCAAGAACTTCAGAAAACATATATGTTAATGTTCTTAAAAAGGCATCTGAGGGAAGTTGACATTGGTGAAGGAACTGGCATTGAATTATTGTATGCCTAAAATGCAACTATCAATAACTTTGTGAATCATGGCATTTTAATAAAAATTTTGAAAGGCATTTGAGGATGTTTTTTAAGAGACTTTGAACAAAGTCTACTAAAATTTTTATGAAACCATAAAACTGAATAGCCTAAACAAAAGATGGGAGGCACTTACAGTTCCCAACCCTGAACTGTACTAAAAAGCTATAATAATCAAAAAAGCATGGTACTGAAATAAAGACAGGCCTGCAGACCAAAGGAAAAAACAGAGTCTTAAGTTTAACTCCCACACCTCTGTACAGTTAATTTATAAAAAAGGAGCAAAATATATGAAGTGGAACAAAGAAAAATCTCTTCAACAAATGGCTCTGGGAAGATTGCAAGGCCACATATACATGTACAAAAATAAAATTAGAACTGTATCCTACATCACTCACAAAAGTAAACTCAAAGTGGATTAAAGACCTCAAGATTAAACCAGAATCCATAAAATATATTAAAGAGTACTGAAGAAAACATTGGCAAAACTCTCCAGGAAATTGACCACAGAGGCAAAGACAACAAAAACATAAATAAACAGGACTACAAAAAATTAAAAGTCTTCTGCATAGCAGAAGAAAATTGAGCTATAAAAAAATATATACCCTTCTGAATGGCAAAAATATCTGTACACTGCACCGCACTGTCCTCCCGTTGTTCATAGATTTTTCTCAAGCGGGCACCAGTAATGTCTCCATTGAAAGACTTCTTGTTACTCTTTTTGGCATATTGAATACGTCACGGGTAGCTTGCCAGGCTTTACCGTGAGGGAAAGATACTCTCGGTAGCTTTCCAGGCTCTCCAAGAGGGGCGGAGGAATCAAACCCAGGTTGGCTGCATGTAAGGCAAACACCCTACCCACTATGCTGTCGCTCCAGCCCATCTGTAAACAATACACCAAATAAAGGGTAATATCTAAGATCTACAAAGCACTCACAAAACTAAACACTAAAAAAGGTCCATCCTAAAATGTTGAGAAATGAACAAACACTTTCCAAAGGAGATAAACAGATGGCCAATAAGTATAATTGTCACTTAGGAGTAAAGAAATGAAAATCAAAACAACATTGAGAAATCATCTCATGCCACCTTGATAGGTACTTTATCAAAAAGTCTATGTTGGCAATTGTGGTGAAAAAAGAACCCTTATCCACTGTTGGTGGAAATGTCCTCAGGTTCAGACTCTATAGAAGCAGAAGTGATCCCTGAGCCCCAAAACAAAAAACAAATTTTGACTATTAAAACACACACACACACACATGCTACTTTATTATCTACTGTATTTTTCAGAGATTTTTATCCCTAGATAAAATTCTTAAGAAATAAAAACTCAAATTCACCAAAATACCTGAACACAACTAGCAGCAGCTTTAGTTGCAATAGTGCCAAACTGGAATCAATACAGAACAAGTAAATGGTTAAAACTGATCCATGCAGAGGTCAGAGATATAGCTCAAATGGCTGAACACATGCTTTGCAAGCAGGAGTCATGAATGTGGTCTTGGCACCATTGGATATTGCCCAAAACCCAAAGTACCCCATCCCAAGAAACTATTGTACATATATATATATACATATATGTATATATATTCATTTCATTTTTTCATTTCATCATCCTGTTATTCGTCGATTGCCTCGAGCAGGCCCCAGTAACGTCTCTTTCATCCTAACCCTGAGATTATATTCAAGGCTCTTTAGGAGAATGAGACCCATCATTGTTACTGGTATTTGGCATATTTGGTATGCCACGGGGAGTTTGCCAGACTCTGCCCTGTGGGCAGGCTACATTCGATAGCCTGCAAGTTTGTCCAAAGTAGGAATGAGATAATAAGATGTCATAAAAAGATGTCCTGATAAGATGTCGCGTGGCCGCGAGAGTAGGCTGGGAGATCTCGGCCCCGGAACCCGCGTGGATTTGTCCCTCTGCCAGTACCTTCATGTGTGCGGAGAGTGGTCTCAACATATATATATATATATATATATATATGTGAACATATTCAAAGTGTGTGGGGGGGCAAAGAGGAGGGGGTAAAAGGAATTACTGACACACCTAACAATTTAAATGTATATTCAGAAATTTTTTCCCAAATAAACAAAGTAAGCCAATCACAGAAGCTACAAACCTAAAATAGTGTTTCTGAAATGACAAAATTTTATAAATGAAAGTCAGATTAGTGGTTGCTAATTGCAAAAGGTTTAGAGGTGGGCAGAGGCTATAAGTCACTACTGAAAGAAATAGAAGAGAACAAGAAAACAGAAATATATTCTTGCTTTATGAGTTAATAATGAAGAAATACCATTATTAAAATGACCAGCTATACAAAATGCTGTAACAGATTTAATGAAAAATTCATCAATGTTCTCATGGTCTTCTTTGTACTCTCTTTTCTTTTTGGGTCACACCCAGCAATGCTCAGGGGTTACTCCTGGCTCTGCACTCAGGAATTACTCCTGGCGGAGCTTGTGGGAAAATATGGGATGCAGAAGATTAAACCCAGGTTGGCCGTGTGTGAGGCAAAAGCCCTACCTGCTGTGCTATCGCTCTGGCCCCCATATATATTCTTTGGGAACAAAAACATAAGGGAACAAATAGTAAAATTTGTATGAAACCATAAGAATCCCAAGTAATTTTGAGAAAAAGAAGAAAGATGGCATCATAGTACCTGACTTAAGACTTTACATAAACATAAGATAAAAATGACATTAATGATAATAGCCATTAATCCGTAACAGACACTCTGAAAATTACTATCATCATACTCATTGCAGAAAAGAGAAAAACTAAAAAAGTTGAGACATTTTTGGGGCTGGAGCAATAGCACAGTGGGTAGGGCATTTGCCTTGCACATGGCTGACCCAGGTTTGTTTCTCAGCATCCCACTGGTCCCCAGAACACTGCCAGGAGCAATTCCTGAGTGCAGAGCCAGAGCCAGGAGTAAGCCCTGTACATCACCAGGTGTGACCCAAAAACCAAAAAAAAAAAAAAAAAAGGGAGAGAGAGACATTTCAAAGACCTTTCCTCTGAATAAGACACAGAATAAGATTTTTTTTCAAAATTGAAAATGCACTACTTTTTATGTAACAGTGTGAAAATATGCACCATTGAAGAAAAGAAAGGTCATTAAGAGAGAACAAAAAATCTGGGAGAATGATACAGATATACCACTTCAAGTCAAAGCAAAATAGATTTCTCATAGACTGATTAAGGAACCTAAGAGGGAAAGTGGAGGGCCCAGGGGAAAGAGAACAGATGGGAGTCAGGATTAGTCCCTGGCCCCACTATGAAATGGTTATATCACTGGGTGAGTCACTTTATAGTTTTCTAATCTCAAAATGAATAAGGTTGCCAAGGAGTATTCCAATGCCCAGTATTAGGAGTTCAGAATTCAGCTGGGGTTTTTATAACTGTTGCCATGAAAGGAGTAATATGGAGATGGAAATGAAAAGACATCGCAATAGGCAGTTAAGTGGTTTCAGAAGTTTAGCTCTTTTGAAGGCAAGATAGCTATTCACTCATGTTTAAACTCAATGAAGAAAGACGAGTAACTGTAGAACAAAAATGGGGAAAAAAAAAACAGTAAAGGGGAAAAGATTCATGTTTGTAATAATAAATCCATGTAAGGATTATGTGTGACAGTGGGACAATGTTCTTACCATACTTAACAAAGCACCTGAATCATGAGTAGCAACTTAAGAATAAAAAGCTCTGTACCTCAGTACCTGTAGTGTAGGCAGGGTTCTTGTAGTCAACCCAGGTTTGATTCCCATCATTCCCATCATATGGTCCCCCAAGCCTACCAGGAGTGGTATCTTAGAGCAAAGCCAGGAGTAAGCCCTGACTGTGGTGTGGCCCAAAACCAAACAAATGAAGGGAGAAAAAGAATAAATAAACCTCCACGTCAAAGACAGACTTCAATAAAACACTGAGGCAAATAAAACAACTCCTTAAAGTCAATAATGACTACACTTCCCACAAACTTGCCAAACAATCTTAACACTTGTAGAAGAGGCAGAACTTAAAAGTCAATGAATGTCTTATTCACTCAGTCTTCACTGCTATTAGTACTTATTTTCAAAGTATCTACTAAATGTTGAATATTCTGCTAAAAGTTTTTTGAAAAGAGACAGAAATGAAAAGAGACATGTAAGAAATGTCACTGAAAACAAAGACTTTACAACAAGAATACATGAGCGTAAAATAACAAAACAGTGAACGCATTCCTCTGTGGAAATTTTTTCTAGGGAGTCACACCCGGCGATGTTTAGGAGTTACTTCTGGCTCTGCACTCAGGAATTACTCTTGGCAGTGCTCACGGAACCATATGGGAAGCCTGAGATGGAACTTGAGTTACCTGCATGCAAGGAAAACACTCTACCCACTATACTCCGGCCCCCTCTGTACACATTGAAATACAACATTTGCTTTGGAATTTAAGTCACATTATCCCCACAAAATTGAAACACAGTGATACTGTAAGACTTTCAGGTCACTCCTCAAAGTTACTGCATATTTGGTTGAGCCTTGCTAGTTGATCTTAATTACCAAAGTAATCTTCAACCAAATGGAGGAGGCAATGTAATTGAGAAAATGAAATATTATAATTTTACAATTAAAAATAAACTTTTTTCATGGGGGTATGAAGCTGCCAGCAGGTCAATCTGTACCTGTGAGGCAAGTGTATCAGCAGCCTGATGACACCTTCAGACTTCCAGATACCCCAAAATTGCTGCTCTGCCTTTGGCCAGATCCCAACAAACTGGGGCAAAGTTTACCAGAAAGTAAATGGCCAAAAGTTAGGTATGTAGGAGACACACCCACAAACCACCTCCGGCTCAGCTATGTAATTGGAGGCATGGCCTCTCTAGTTCCTGATCAGACTGCTTAACGGCCATGATCCCAGAGACTCAGAAGCAAATCTCGAAACCCAGCAGCTTTTGGCAAAAATGCATCCGAACCCTGAGTAGGTGACTGTCACCAGGCCACCCCAGGAGGGGAAGGGTGCTGTTCCTCCACCTGCTCCCCCTAGGTGGCTCAGTGACCATCCTCCAAAGGCCACTGGACAGTCAGAATTGGGCCCGCAGTGACGAGACACGTTGGGCCTCACGGGATGGGGGTGGAGCCGGCCCTTTCCTCCCCGTCCCAACAAGACCTCTAGTCACCGCCCAATGGCCTCTCTGGCTCCTGATCAAGCTGATTAACGGCCATGATCCCAGAGACTCAGGAACAAATCTCGGAACCCAGCAGGTTTTGGCAGAAATTCCTTGATTTAATTGTTAAAATTTCAGAATTTCAAAATCGCATGGCCACTACTGTAGCCACACAACATCATATGTTATTCATAATCAACAACAGAAAACAAATTGTCTACCATTGCCTTTTCGGCAGATCTGAATGTTGTAAAATCCCAAATAATAATGGTGGGTCTGGTGTCAAAATATTGAATGTAATCGAAGTAGAGAGAGAGAATAATGTGAAAATCATCTATCCCACAGGTAGGGGGAGGGTCTGGGATGAGGGTATACTGGGGTTTTTGGTGATGGAGAATGGACACTGGTGAAGGTATGGGTGTTTTGTTGTATGACCGAGACTTAAACCCGAAAACTTTGTTACTGCTCTCACGGTGATTCAATAAATAAAATTATAAGAAATGAAAAAAAAAAGTAAGGTGGAGTTCATGCCCAATTCAATCAGCCTAATCAGTGGCTGATTAAACAGCAGTACTCCTACATAAACTTTTTTCATGACACAAACACTGTTTTTGTTTAGCATGTTGGGAAGCAAATTATGGCTCAGCTCTATGCAATGCTATGCACTATATATCTTTCCAATTACTTTACATTTAAGTTGTACCAATTATTTTATACATTTTATTTTAAAAAAACCTTAAGGTTGAAGTACTGTCAATATCAATTTAAAAGTGCATAAAATGGGCATACAGACCGGGTAATTTGAGTCAGAGTTCAAGAAAGGTAATAAATACCTGAAAAGACTATCCATTTTTTGAGTAGTCTCATCTGCCCACATTCTTTACTGGAGCATAAAACAGGGATAAGGACATGACAGCATGCAGGTACAGACATGTGCACACACACGCATACACATGTAAACACAGGTTCTGTAAGCACTAGTTTTTGACTAATAGAAAAAAAAATATTTCTGAGGTTATGGTCTCAAAGAATTCCACATAATTGATACTCCAAACTCACACAAGTGCACAATGACGTGTACACACATAAAAAAGCAGTGTGACATCTATAATGGAAAACAATCTAATGCACATCTATAAGGAACAGGCTAAATACTTTGAATTCTGGATAGACTATGAAAGAACAATTTTATGAGTCACGGTCATGGACATGGTCCTCCCGTTGTTCATCGATTTGCTCAAGCGGGCCCAGTAACGTCTCCATCGTGAGACTTGTTGTTACTGTGTTTGGCATATCGAATACATCACGGGTAGCTTGCCAGGCTCTGCCGTGCGGGCGAGATACTCTCGGTAGCTTGCTGGGCTTTCCGAGAGGGGTGGAGGAATCGAACTCAGGTCGGCCATGTTGGCTGCGTGCAAGGCAAACGCCTTACCGCTGTGCTAATTTTATGAATAGGAATAGCTAAAATGTAGTATAAGAGGCAAAGGACATAGAACAGCCTGTGTATTATTAATTCCTGTTGTAGTAGAGAAAATGAAGGCAATATATATTATACATGTATTTGAATATCTGAATAGGATAGAAAAGTTAACAGTAAACAAATTACTTATAGTGCTTACTTCAGGGAAATAGGGAGGAACGGGTCGAAGAAGACTACGGAGGAAGATGTTTATGTTGGTTATAGTCTTTTGTTGAATTTCACTTTACCAGAAAGCACACATAGCAGATATTTTCATTTTTTCATTTCATTTCATCATCCTGTTAATCGTCGATTGCCTCGAGCAGGCCCCAGTAACGTCTCTTTCATCCTAGCCCTGAGATTATATTCACGGCTCTTTAGGAGAATGAGACCCATCATTGTTACTGGTATTTGGCATATTTGGTAGGCCACGGGGAGTTTGCCAGACTCTGCCCTGTGGGCAGGCTACATTCGATAGCCTGCAAGTTTGTCCAAAGTAGGAATGAGATAATAAGATTTCACGCGGCCGCGAATGCGGCCGCGCGATTCCAGGATCTGGATTTTATAGTCTCTGAGTCTTGTTATTTAAAAAATGTTATAGACCCTAGGGCTGGAGCGATAGCACAGTGGGTAGGGCGTCTGCCCTGCATGCAGCCAACCCAGGTTCAATTCCTCAGCCCCTCTCAGAGAGCCTAGCAAGCTACCAGTGCTGGGCACCCCAGGTAGGAATACGTTTCATGCCTTGGTCTGTTCCCCTTGGTGGCCCAGTGGCCACCATTCTCCAGAGGCCACTGGACAGTCAGGTTTGGGACTGTATCGCCCACATGGCAAAGCCTGGCAAGCTACCTGTGACATATTCAATATGCCAAAAACAGTAACAAGAAGTCTCACAATTTGTTGTGAGATGTTACTGGTGCCCGCTGGAGCAAATCGATGAACAACAGGAGGACAATGCTACAGTACTATAGACCCTAACCTCTCTCTTTATATATAAATACAACAGACTGGTATGTAATGATGAATGTAAAGGGGGAAAAAAGAATAATGTGACCTTTAAGAGTTAGGCAGAAGGGATATAAAATTATCTCCTAAAGGGTATTTTTAGGAATAACAGAAGCTGTATCCCAGAAGGACGTTATCAAACAAAAATAATGAGTACCCTACCCCAAGTATGGTGGGCTTCACAGATGAAAAGAACCCCATTAATAATAAGGAAAGAGCAGCTATGACGTGGGTCAACAGGCAGAGAGAAATTCCCCAGTGCTGGAAGAGAGTGGGGGAGGGGGGTTGGAACTGCTAACTAGTCTCGAAATATCCCAGTGTGGGGGCAACAATACTTTTTCATCCTTTAAAGAATATACGTCTACTTGACAATTCACTTTCAGGGTCATTCATATTTTATAACATACAATATTTGGAGAATGCTGTTCAAAGATGCCTTACTGAGAGAGCAGGCAACTGAAAGTTTGGAAAGGACTCCTGGATTGCCTCGATTGCCTTGAGCAGGCCCCAGTAACTCTCTTTCGTCCTAGCCCTGAGTTTTTTTTTTTTTTAAGTGCCATATTCAAGGCTCTTTCAGAGTTAGGAGAATGAGGCCCTTCATTGTTATTGGTATTTGGCATATTGGGTACGCCATGGGGAGTATGCCGTGTGGGCAGGTTACATTCGGTAGCCTGCCAGTTTGTCCAAGTTTGGAAAGGACTGAAGTGGTCAAATTCCTGGGAAAGAGGGTAGCATTAACCGGTAATTCTGTCTGGGAAGGATGAAAACGGTGTGAAATCGTTAGTGTGCACGGTCTGAGACTTTCACATTCTGTTCACTATGCCCTGAATGTATTTCATGAAAAGTCCTGTTACTTTCCAAAAGCACAAATCCTGTTTTATGAACCATTCTAACAACGCACAATTCATTGAATGCATCGTCGTAAAAAAAAAAAAAAATATATATATATATATATATATATTTACTTTATGCCTCTGGATAGGGCTTCAGCCCTTCTGTAAAGAATTCTCACTGTCACATAACAGCACAATTGAAGAAAGCCCCGGGTCACATTCAACAGTGGAGCCGTACTCGGCCAGTCATCCAAAGTGTCCGTCCCTCCTTAAACTGCCCTCTCCCCAAAACCGAAGGGGGACCTTGTCAATACCGCGCTCGCTCGTCTATTCCTCACAGCCCAAGGCGTCAACCCCTCCTTCCCGGTCAGCAGAGCAAACACCCTCCTTCCCCCCGGCCTCGCCCCCTTTTCCTCCACGGCTCCCTGCGGGGTGCCCTGACCTCTGGCTGCCTGCCCGCCCGCCCGCCCGCCCGCCCGCCTCTGGCTGCCGGACTTGACCGGCGGGGTCGCAGTGACCACCCCTCTCTCGGGCCCACCGAGCAACCCCTCCTCCGCGAGCTCGCGGCCAGCCCCGCACTCGGCATTCGAGGCCCGACGACCCGGGACCTCCGCCCTCAGGCCTTGGGTCTGCTGGGGTCCCGCCGCCCCTCTCCCGACCGGGCCTGCGAGGGCCGGAGCTCGGCGGCCGCGGCCTCCGTCGGGCGTCAGCGGCTGCGGGAGGCCGGCCAGGGCAGGCCGCGCGCGGGAGGAACGAGGCCCCGCGGCGGGCCGGCACGGCGCCCCACGCCCAGCTCCGTCGCCGCCCGGGGCCGCCGCCCGCGGAGGCCGCCGCGCAGCTCCGGGAGACGCAGACGCCGGAGGGGCGGCCCCGAGGCCTGCTCGGGGGCGCGGGCGGGGCGCGGGGTCCGATCGCGGCCGCGTCCCGGAGAGGCGGGGCGGGGACCCGGCGCGGCGGCCTCGGCGTACCGACGCGGGCTCCGGAGAGCGGGGGCCGCCAAAGGCCTCCAGGAGACGAGCTGGGCGCCTCCCCCCTCACCTGGCGGAGGCTGCCGCGGGGGACTCCAGCTGCACCCCTCCCAAATCTGAGCCACGTCAGCTCCGGAATCCCGGGCGCGACACCCAGCGCGGCGGCGCCCCACCGGAGCACTCGGCCACTCGCCGCCGGGACGGAAAACGGGATTAGCACGGGCCAATCAGGGCGAGGCGCACGGCGTTACCTAGGAAACCAGGCACGCCTCGTTTGTGACCAACCCACCACGCTGACGGGGAGCCAATCAGCGCCAGGAAACGTTCCTCCGCCCCAAGTGAACAGCCAATGGCGGGAGGGCCGGGGAGTGACGCGACCGGCGTTCCGGAAAAGGACCAGGGGGCGAGCCGGAAGCGGTCGGAGGCGGGCGCTCTGGGCAAGGTCAGGTGTTTCGGGGCCAGCTGGTTCGCTGCCTTCTGCCCAGCGCTCCGCCGCGTGGCCCGTGACTGACCCGGACCCGGACGTCTTTGCGGAGTGTCTGTCCCGTGGCCGTCAGCGCCGTTAGAATGATTGGATCAGCTGGGCCAAGGACTTAGGCAGATGTTGTTTTGCTCTTGGGCATAAAATAGTAGAGCCGGAAAGCAGTTCGTCGATTATGACCTAAAGATTTTACTTGGAACAAAATGGGAACCACACTGAAAGTGCTAACCCAAAGGAAAACAGCAATTTAGTGGTGGAATTCGAAGCACTGAAAACCGACGTGCATATGAAAGGAAATCAGATCTATCTCTAAGGACTGGCGGAAGAGGAAATAGTGAATCATCGGGAAGATGCGCCTTGGAGGTGGTCCTTGGACTAGGCTTTAAGGAAGGGGAGGCAATATTGGAGCTCAGGGCCTGAACCTAAGTCCCAATGTGAGTCAATGAGCAACTCAAGTAATGGTTAGACCTGGGGCTCCTTCTGCCCCCTCAGTAGGGCTGGCAAGGGCGGGGGGCGGGGGTTACTTTTCATCACCAATTTCAGAAACTCTATATTAATAAAAGATTTAAAAAATATAAAAGAAAAAAAGGCCATTTCATTAGAAATACAAAGCTCAGGTGTTGAGGAGGTAACTCAAAGGTGTGAGTTCAAAGTGCGATGCCAGCACCACATGCCCCCCTGCCCCCCCCCCCCCACCTCCTTCCATCTCCCCTTGGGGTGGCCCTGTTGGTACCCGGCACTGCTGATCCAAACACCAAACCATTAGGCCCACAGTGCAGGGCAAAGCGAAGCAGAATATCTCTGGGAGTGGCCCCTGAACTTCTGAGAACTACTAGGGATACCAAGAAAAAGGTGCATTTGTGTGGGTGGGTGGGTGGGTGGGTGGGAGAAACCTAAACTAGAAGAGAAATATAAAATATAATAGGAGATGTATAATAGAAGATAAAATATAATAGAAGATGTATACTAAAAGTATTGATCACGGTGCCTGGAGCTAGAGCCTACCTCGCATATGTGAAACAGAATGTATAATATTTTGGAATGCCTCCATTGGCTCTGCCAGTGTCCCCCCAGTGCCACAATTAGGCACATGACTCCTGGTAAACACAACCAAGTGTGTGACTCATGGTGTGGCTAAACCGCACGACTACAACAAAGGGACGGGAAGAGAGTGTGTATCTGAATAAATAAAAATATTCTGTGTTCTGCTTATAGATAAGCCAACAGTTCTAAACAACTCACCAAAGAAGATGTATAGAAGGAAAATAACATAAGAAGCTCAACCTCATATCATTTGGGAATTGCAAATAAAATAATGAGATATCATCACATACCAATTAGAATAGCAAAATTTTAAGATGCTGATAACAAAATGCTGGCCAGGTTGTGCAGCAACAGAAGTGCTCATTTGTTGCTGATGGGAACAGATTATGATGCTCACTTTAGAAGTCAATTTGACACTTTCTTACAAAGCTAAACAGATTTAGCATATTATTCAGTAATCACACTTCATAGTATTTGCCCAAATTCTTGGAAACACCACTGTATCACTGTCATCCCATTGTTCATCGATTTACTCGAGCGGTCACCAGTAACGTCTCCATTCGTCCAAGCCCTGAGATTTTAGCAGCCTCCTCCTTAATCGTCTTTCCCAAAGCTGCCATATTAGAGGCTCTTTCAGGGTTAGAGGAATGAGACCCGTTATTGTTACCGTTTTTGGCATATTGAATACGCCACATGGAGCTTGCCATGCTCTGCTGTGCAGATACTCTCGCTGGCTTGCCAGGCTCTCTGAGAAACATATCTATGCAAAAACATGCATATGAATGTTTATAGCAGCATTGTACATATTTTCCAAAAGGTGGAAGCAACCAGCAGGTAAATGGATAAACTGCAATTTATCCATACTACAGAATATTGTTAAATGACAAAGAGCCTATCAAGTCATGAAAAGACACAGAAAACCCTCAAATGCATGTTGTTACATGAAAGAAGACTCTAAAAGTATATTACTGTATGATACAATGACAGTCTATAAAAAACAATTAAAAGAATTAATAGTTTTTAAGTCACTGAAACAATTCTGTATGATACTATAGTTGTGGACATGTGATATTTATCAAAATGAATAAAACCATAACAGTTTAATGTAAATTATAGATTTTGGTTAATATATCAATATTGATTCATCAATTGTAACAAAAATCTCACTCTAATGAAGTTGTTTTACTCAAATTTTCTAGAAATCTAGAACTATACTGTGTGCATACATATATTGTCAAATTTTACCCAAAAGAAGTAGACAGCCAATTACTATACAAAAGATTCTAGACAGTTACTCATATGAAAGAATGTTTTGCCCATTTTTATAGGAAATTCTTTTTCTTCCTTTAAGGAACATGTACTTCCTGTGTTGTATAATCTATATAAGTAGAACATTTTCCAAATAGCTTTGGTGGCGGGGTGGGGTGAGTGTGGAGGCCTTACAAGCCATGCTCAGGATATGGAGGGAGTGAGCACTAGAAATTCTTCTTCTGGACCTATAGCTCAGTGCAAGTACCCAAGGATGTGAAGGTTTGAAGGACCTGCATGTATAATCACCAAGAGACTAGGAATCCCGCGCCTCTCTCTTGCCGCCTGCGTTCGGTGGTCTTGGGCCACTTCCCCACCCGGGACAGCCAATGCCATGGACAGACAAAGGAGGAAACAAGGGCCAGGCTGGTTGGTGATCAGTTGCCATTTATTCCATTTTCCCCACGTGCCTGTTCCAGTCTCTCTGAGCCCCACATTCCTGTCTCCTCCTGTCTCCCTCACTCGTCTCTCCGCACTCCTCCAACTCCCTCTGCCTTGGTGTCTCTCTCTCTCTCTCTCTCTCTCTCTCTCTCTCTCTCTCTCTCTCTCTCTCTCTCTTTCAGAGCCCTACCTGATTGTCTGCAGCCAGGGTATCCAGTTCAGGGGCGAAATGCCACTTAGGGTGTTTTTCTCCTTAGTCCAATAACTTCACACCTTAATTAACGTTTTAATTCTAATTCTAAATATTAGTTATTTTGTATGGACACGGTAAGAGATACATTAAACTTGTAGGGTGACTCTCCTGAGGACATCTCGCTATAGATCTCAGACTACAGTGCTCAGGCCAGATTAGGCAGTGCTGGCAACCTCCAGGAATTTATTTAGTGATCATTGGTGGACCATGTTTTTTCAGGAATCAAACCTAGATCGGGTACACATGCTCTAACTACTAAACGAGCATCTTGTCCTCTTGATCATTTTTTTAAAAACTAGCATAATCCAGGTCCCCACAACTTAAAGATGTCTCTAGGAAAACCTTTGACATAAACACTTTTTTGTCATATTTACTCTAGTTGAACCTATTTACAAATTTGAAAAGTACTCATTGACTGGGTATTTTCAATGGCTTTCAATAGGGCTTGCAGTGAAGAGAAGAAAAGTCAGGTTAGAGAGTTAAGTGGTGGTCCCACAGAAGAATCACTGAAATTACTAGACCAATTAGAGTTATGGAGTTATGGAAGCCCTTCTAGGCCTTAGCATGGGTTAAGACCTGGAATGTCTTCTTTTACAAGCTTTCTAAGATTGAGATCAGTGAGCAGGGAATGTTGCTGAATAGTAGAGCAGAGGTTTGGAACTCCGGCACCCAGCAGATGTAACAGCTGCACAACAGCTGAAATTGCTCACTGATTAGGTATGCTGTGCTCTCAAATAGCTTGTCTCTGTGTGTTTATTTTTTTAGATAGATACGGAGTTTATTTTAGGGTCACACCCAGTGTTCATCAAAGCTACTCCCAGCTCAATCAATGCTCAGGGATCTTTCATAGTGGTGCTTAGGTATTAAACTGAAATAGATAGGACCCTCATTAGATTCGGTTCTGAAGAGAACATATCTGGCTTCATATGATCTTTATAGGTTGTCTGTGAAATTTCCCAAAGCCCTTAAGCCAAAGAAGAAAAATATCTCCCATGATACTTTTGGTAAACTTATGGAAGAATTTATATGCAGAAGCTAAGCAAACTACAAACCAGGAAAACAAAGTGGTTGAAGAAGGATAAGAGAAGACCAGAAAAAAAATCAAAACAAATTTAAAAAATTGATGGAATTTAGACTATTAATAATTTATTTTATTACAGTGGGTAGGGCATTTGCTTTGCACACATCCAATCCGGGTTCGATTCCTCCGTCCCTTTCAGAGAGCCAGGCAAGCTACCGATAGTATCCCGCCCGTACAGCAGATCCTGGCAAGCTCCCCATGGCATATTTGATATGCCAAAAACAGTAACAAGTCTCACAATGGCGATATTACTGGTGCCTGCTCGAGAAAATCGATGAACAACAGGAGGAGAGTGCTACAATGCTACAGTGCTATTTATTTTATTTTTATAATTGAACCACCATGAGATATAATTACAAAGCTTTCATGATTGAGTTTCAGTCATACAACGATCAAACACCCATCTTCACCAGAGTACTTTTTCACCACCAATGTTCCCAGTATCCCTCCCACTACCCTCACCCAACCCCATCCCTTGCCTCTATGACAGACAATTTCCTCCATACTCTCTCTCTACTTTTCGGCATTACGGTTTTTGCAATACAGATACTGAGAGGCCATATTTGGTCCTTTATCTACTTTCACCACACCACCCTCATCCCAAGCGATTCCTCCACCGATTATTGACT